GGTTTAGTCCAGTTTTAGTCCCAGGTTTAGCCCAGGTTTAGCCCAGGTTTAGTCCAGGTTTAGTCCAGGTTTAGTCCAGGTTTAGTCCAGGTTTAGCCCAGGTTTAGCCCGGGTTTAGTCCAGGTTTTGTCCAGGTTAAACCAGGTTAAATTCAGGTTTAGCCCAGGTTTAGACCAAGATTAGACCAGGTTTAATCCATGTTTAGCCCAGTTTTAGTCCCTGTTTAGTCCAGGTTTAGCCAGGTTTAGTCCAGGTTTAGTCCAGCCATTTTCCATCTTCATTCCCTTAAATTATGTGGAACTTTAGCTCCTCTTCCCACAACAGATTTAATTAAAGCCTAAAGCAACTAGCATGCTATCAGCGCACTTCCGGTCTGTCTCACATACCTGTAGTAGAGCGTCTGCACCAGTTGTCCAGGCGCGACTTGGCTCACATAACGGGCCAGTCCAAAGTCGATGATCTTGATCCTGAGGGGCTGCGTCACGTGACCAATCATCATCACATTCTCAGGCTTCCAGTCACAGTGGATCATTCCAACTCTCTTCAGGAACAACAAGGCTCCAGTGATCTGCAAAACACAACACTTCACTTTAACACACCACCTTTTAAAGATGCACTGTGGAACTTTTCTGCTCAACGCTCCATCAAAGGGTCTTGGTCTCGCATCAGACTCGACGGCTTGTTCTCTGATTTGTCTCAGTCTTGATGGCGCTTGGTCTCGGTCTTGTCTCAGGTCTTGTTCTGTCTCGGTCTTGTCTCGGTCTTGTCTCGGTCTTCATGGCGCTTGGTCTTAGTCTTGTCTCAGTCTTGTCTCAGTCTTGTCTCAGTCTTCATGGCGCTTGGTCTCGTCTTGTTTCGGTTTTGTCTCGGTCTTGTCTCAGTCTTGTCTCGGTCTCGACATTTAAAAGTCTCAGTCTTCTCCTTCGTCTTGTCTGGTCTGGTCTTGTCCTGGTCTCTGGACCCTGTGGTCTCTGGACCCTGTGGTCTCGGTCTTGTCTCAGTCTTGTCTCTCTTGTCTCTCTGTCTCGGTCTTGTCTCGGTTTTGTCTCAGTCTTGTCTCAGTCTCTGATGGCGCTTTGGTCTCAGTCTTGTCTCGGTCTCGACATTTAAAAGTCTCAGTCTTGTCTCGGTCTTGTCCTGGTCTCGGGACCCTGTGGTCTCGGGACCCTGTGGTCTCGGGACCCTGTGGTCTCGGGACCCTGTGGTCTCGGGACCCTGTGGTCTGGGACTGGTCTTGGTCTTGATTACTTACCTGAGTGAGAATGGGCCTGATGTGTTTGAGGGGCAGACTTTCATACGGAGCCTTGGACAGAAAATCCAGGAGACTTATGTCCAGCCTCTCAAACTCGTGGCAAAAATTCCCACGAAACTGAAAAGAACAGATCCACCGCACGATGTGGCACGATTCTGATCCGAACAAAGTCAGATGGCGCAGGATCAGGGCCTGTAGGGGGCGCACAAGAGCAGGACAGACACAGGTTTACATGAGAACAGTCGTAAAATGGTCATATTTTTATATCATGGAACCACTCACTTTTAGTCTTGGTTTAATCACATTTCACTCTTAGTCTAGTCCTGGTCTAGTCCTGGTCTAGTCCTGGTCTAGTCCTGGTCTAGTCTTGGCCTGGTCTAGGTCTAGTCCTGGTCTAGTCCTGGTCTAGTCCTGGTCTAGTCACATTAAACACACTTGTATCTTACCTCGCTCAGGCCGGCGTCGCTGTGGCTGTGCATTTCTTTGAGCACTTTGAGCGCCACCGTCTGGCCGCTGTTGTTATTGCGGGCGAGGGTGACCACTCCGAAGGCCCCGGACCCCAGGATCTTCTCCACCTGGTAGGACGTGGAGCTGGAGGTGATGCAGTCGCCGACCTCCAAGGAGGACGAAGAGTCCATGTTTCCGGAGGAGAGACTCATGTACTGCGAGTAGTACTGTGAGTAGTACTGCGAGTAGTACTGTGAGAAGTACTGTGAGAAGTACTGTGAGAAGTACTGTGAGAAGTACTGTGAGAAGTACTGCAACATCAGAGACAGAGAATTAGTAAAGTTTGCATTAGATTGTAAACAAAGTACGTCCTGGTTTATTTATATTTGAGTCTTGGTTTTGTAATGTCTAGTCCTGGTCTAGTCCTGGTCTAGTCCTGGTCTAGTCTTGGTCTAGTCCTGGTCTAGTCCTCATCTAGTCTTGGTCTAGTCTTGGTCTAGTCTTGGTCTAGTCTTGGTCTAGTCTTGGTCTAGTCCTGGTCTAGTCCTGGTCTAGTCTGGTCTAGTCCTGGTCTAGTCCTGGTCTAGTCTTGGCCTAGTCCTGGTCTAGTCTTGGTCTAGTCTGGTCTAGTCTTGGTCTAGTCCTGGTCTAGTCCTGGTCTAGTCTTGGTCTAGTCCTGGTCTAGTCTTCTAGTCCTGGTCTAGTCCTGGTCTAGTCTTGGTCTAGTCCTGGTCTAGTCCTGGTCTAGTCCTGGTCTAGTCTAGTTGGTCTAGTCCTGGTCTAGTCCTGGTCTAGTCTTGGTCTAGTCCTGGTCTAGTCTTCTAGTCTTGGTCTAGTCCTGGTCTAGTCCTGGTCTAGTCCTGGTCTAGTCTTGGTCTAGTCCTGGTTTAGTCCTGGTCTAGTCTTAGCCTAGTCCTGGTCTAGTCTTGGTCTAGTCCTGGTCTAGTCCTGGTCTAGTCTTGGCCTAGTCCTGGTCTAGTCCTGGTCTAGTCCTGGTCTAGTCTTGGTCTAGTCTTGGTCTAGTCCTGGTCTAGTCTGGTCTAGTCCTTGGTCTAGTCTTGGTCTAGTCCTGGTCTAGTCCTGGTCTAGTCTTGGTCTAGTCTTGGTCTAGTCCTGGTTTAGTCCTGGTCTAGCTTTGGTTTAGTCCTGGTCCATCTTTGGTTTAGTCCTGGTTTAGTTCTGGTTTAGTCCTGGTCTAGCTTTGGTTTAGTCCTGGTTTAGTCCTGGTCCATCTTTGGTTTAGTCCTGGTTTAGTTCTGGTTTAGTCCTGGTCTAGCTTTGGTTTAGTCCTGGTTTAGTCCTGGTCCATCTTTGGTTTAGTCCTGGTTTAGTCCTGGTCCATCTTTGGTTTAGTCCTGGTTTAGTTCTGGTTTAGTCCCAGTTCATCTTATACTTGTGTGTTTCTGGAAGTGTAACTGTGTTGATTTGTGTTTGATTTGGTAAAAAAATAAAACACTTCTTGTTCATGTTTTGGTCTTACCTGGTCCAGAAGATGTTTGGGAAAAGATCTGGACAAGTTTGGATGCAAAGTTTGCGCAAAAAACAAGACTTGAAGAGCAACAGTGGAGCGATGTGCACTCGTGAGCTGTGTTCTGTCAAATGACGAGACCAGAGTCTGCGTCAAGTTTATGTACTTCTACTGCACGTCGCCATGGAAACTGCTTTGATGCCAGAATGTTTATTTTCAAATTTACCTGAGTTTAGGGCAGTGGTGCTTCTGCTTCTAGTCACTGTTACATAAGAGTGTGTTGTTGTACAGTTGTAGGGAGTATTAACTGTTACATAATGGTGAGTTGTTGTACAGTTGTAGGGAGTATTATCTGTTACATAAGAATGAGTTTTGTACAGCTGTAGGGAGTATTATCTGTTACATAAGGGTGTGTAGTTGTACAGTTGTAGGGAGTATTATCTGTTACATAAGACTGAGTTGTTGTACAGTTGTAGGGAGTATTATCTGTTACATAAGACTGAGTTGTTGTACAGTTGTAGGGAGTATTATCTGTTACATAAGACTGAGTTGTTGTACAGTTGTAGGGAGTATTATCTGTTACATAATGGTGTGTCGTTGTAAAGTTGTAAGGAGTATTATCTGTTACATAATGGTGAGTTGTTGTACAGTTGTAGGGAGTATTTCTGTTACATAATGGTGAGTTGTTGTACAGTTGTAGGGAGTATTATATGAATGTAGTCCTGTATCTCTCACTGTTTGAGTGGAGCTGTAGGAGGACAAAACATCTTAGGTTATGATTTCCTCGTCTTTGCTTCTCTACAGCAAATCAAGTAATCCAAAGTATTCAGATTACGTTACTCACTTTAAGTAATTTAATGGATTACGTTACAAACTACATTTTGGGGTATGTAATCTGTAGTCTGTAGGGGAATACATTTTAAAAGTAACCTTCCCAACACTGAACATAGGAAGTGCTCCACTGTGTTTTTAAACTCTATACACCTTCACTAGAACCATTCTGACTGTTCCAGGTTTGTTTTTGAGGAGGTAACAACATTATAAAGTGTCTTAAAGATCACAAGAGTCAATTTTGTGTAATATAAGACTTTTAATCCACTTTTTTCTTACTTTTACACAACTACTCTTCCCCTTGAGTAAACTGTATGGTTACTCTACTCAACCTCAATCAAATAACTTTTTTTTATTTTTAAACAAAATCATACTTGCAGGTCCCAGTGCTCTGCTGTGGCTGCTGTTGACCCCTGTCGCCATGGTGAAGAAGCACAAAACACAATAATATAATACAAACATTTCAGCGCTAACTTTGTTTTTTATGAGTTTTACAGAACAGGAAGGAAGCTGTGGTGAAATTAAGATGCGCCAAAACAAAGCTGGCACATTTCTGACATTATATTTTGTAACTAGAGGACCTAAGTATATTTTATCGGAGTGTCTATTTGCAAATAAAATGAAATGAAATAAAATTAAATAAAATTAAATTAAATTAAATGAAATAAAATGAAATAAAATAAAATGAAATAAAATAAAATGAAATGAAGTAAAATAAAATAAAATAAAATGAAATGAAATAAAATGAAATGAAATAAAATAAAATGAAATAAAATAAAAAGAAATGAAATAAAATGAAATGAAATAAAATGAAATAAAATAAAATGAAATAGAATAAAATAAAATGAAATGAAAATGAAATAAAATGAAAAAAATAAAATGAAATAAAATGAAGTAAAATAAAATAAAATAAAATAAAATAAATTTAAAAAGCTTTTAATGAACTTCTGGGAGCGCTTCAACTTCGACCAATCAGATTTCTGTGCGACAGGTGACGTCATACTTCAGCGACCGTCAGCTCCGGCGGCATGTGGTTTTGTTTTTCTCGTGGTTTGCGTGAAAATACAGAGTTTGCGTTGCGTGTATTTCAACCGTCGTGCGACTGAACATACTCTGCGAAGACTTGAAACGGCACAGACATGGAGAGCTGCGAGTCATTGGGAATAGAGCCGATTCTTAACGAAAAAGACCGACCCGCGCCTCGCTGTCCTCACGGTGCGTAAAGTTAAACAGACTCTCACGGATTATTTAAAGCTGCACTGTGTGACTTTTCTGGTGGAGGGTCCGTCAAATGCTTTTCTCCATGTAGATGTTAATGCTTTGTCTGTAATATTTCAGAGTATGGCATTAAACTAGGGTGAGCAGACGTCTTTATTTACCCGCGGTTGAATTGGTTTGATATTGTATTTGGATATTCGACACATTCACGGACATTTAACTTGTAATAAGATAAGATAAGATAATCCTTTATTGTCTCCCATGGGAGGAATTTGTCTTGGGACAGGGGGTAACATGCTTTATCAAAAAAAAATTAATAAATATAAATAAACAATTGGCCCAAAAAGGAGTGGGAAGAAGAAAATGTATTTAATCCCATCCCCCTCTTCTAATCTAACACATTTCTTTTGAAATTTTCTGACATTTTACATTAAACTATATGAACTATTTACAAGTATGGACAAAGAGTCACTGTTATAGTTTGGTAACATAACTGTATTGCAGTAATACATAAGGATACCAACAGTGGTAAGGAAAATTAAGATACCAATAAACGTAATGTAGAGCTGTTTAATGTCTTACTGTGGAGCACTCCAGCAACAGAAATGACATATCCATAGAAAAGAAAATGAGGTGATGGACCCCTAACCAAAAAGTGTCAAAAGAAAATATATATTTCAATGCATTTTTATGTTCTACCACATTCATATCTGATCATTTCCAGGGCCCACTTTGTTATTTGAAAAAGTCTGTGAAGGAGGCTCTAAAGGCAGAAGGTTCTACGCCTGCTCAGCTTGCAGAGACAGAAAAGACTGCAACTTTTTCCAGTGGGAGGACGAGAAGGTGAGATCTCTAAATTGTAGTAAGAATAAAGACAGTGAGTAGATGTGATTTCACAAAGTTTGATTTCCTTTTTTTTTTGTGGCAGGTGTCTGAGGCCAGGCAGCTCGCAAGAGAAGAGGAAAATAAAGCGAAGTTGCCCGCTTTTACCCATAAGCAGTACTGTGCCAGGTAGTAACTGTTAGACATGTTGATATTTATACTCTCCTGGTGGTTTTTAAAGCTGGATGATATGCCTATGAAAGGTATATTTTTTCAGTAATGACAATCAGATAGTATTTTTAGTTATTTAAACCCTGATTTGAATTATTACGCAGCACATTTACTTTCTTTTTGTGTCTTTTTTGTTTTTTACCTTAGTGGTTATCAGCATTTCATGCCAAGTGTAGTGACTGTTTGTCAAAGAAAAGTAACAAACAAAAGCAGTGAGCAAACTCAGAGCTAAATATCAAAGGTGGGACCAAGTCTTTCTTTTGCAAGTCTCTGAAGTAAGTCTCAAGTCTTTGACCTCGAGTCCAAGTCAAGTCCCAAGTCGAGTCTCGAGTCACTGGCCCATAAGTCCAAGTCAAGTCCAAGTTGTCAACTTTGAGCTTCAAGTCATTTCAAGTCGTTAAACCAAAGTACCAAATATAGCTTAGATACCAAATTAGACAAAACAAATTAGCAAACATAATATTAACATAGCAAAAACATGTTATTAGTTCTACTCAAATTTAACATTATATGAAAAAATACTAAATACAATACAAAATACAAATAAAATACAAAAAAATCTTCAGCTAACTCATTCAGTAACTTATAATTATATCCTTATAATAGTTGACTAATACAAATTTGGTCATTTAAGATTTGATCGACGGATTAATCGATTAAAGAACTAAAAGACTTACAGCCCTAGAACCAAAATGATAATGCATTCATTCCTGTAGTTGATCATAAAATGTCCTTCACTTCTGGCAGACTGAAGAAGTTTGTGGACTTGCCGCTGCAGGAGAAGAAGTTCTGTGCAGAGTGTCAGTTGCTGCTTTTGCCAGGGGAACAGGCGGCCCACTCGTCTCACAGACTCACCGAGGTGACCAGCGCCCAGCTCAGGAGGCCCAGTGTCCTGCTCCGGCCGCTGGAGAACAAGAAGAGCAACGCCCAGTACCTGTTCGCCGACCGCTCTGCGCACTTCCTGCTCCAAACACTGGTCCAGCTCGGCTTCAAGAAGGTTCTGTGTGTGGGCACCCCAAGGTAACAGTTTTTGCTTGTGGTGTTGGTAGTTTTCATACTCATGCTCTCAGATAATGTCTCTCTCTTTCTCTCTATCGAGATATGTGTCATATCTGCAACATCTTAATGACACCCAGCCCTAGTACAGAGGCAAGAGACACAGTTTTTGTTAGCAGTTACATTGTACTTTGCCATGAAATATCCAAGAGATAAATTCACAAATGTAGAACCTGATCATTTCACTAGACTTGTCTTGTATTTTAACAGTATTATATACTTTACAATACATTTTATCTGCCCCTATTTGTATTATTTCTAGTTTGAACTTTTTGTATAAACTATGGAACAATAGTGGCTTCAATCATTAGAGCGTTTGCAGTGGACAGGGATTAGCCACAAAGAATGTTGTGATATGGTTAATATTATGTTATTACAGTACACCTTATGTGGACATATATAATTATGTGTAAAAAGAAGACCAGCAGTTGGTTACATCAATTGTTTTATTTCTACATTGCATTCATTATAAACAATTGTACAATGTTATACTACAATGCTTCAAGTTCATATTTATTTATATATATTTATATTTAAGTAAATTTATTTATTTATTTTTTTCTGCTCTCTGCAGACTCCATGAGCTGATTAAGTTAAGAAACCTGGAGAAGAAAGACACGCCCATGCAGAGTCTGCTGCTGGACATAGACTTCAGGTGAGTAAAAATGTTTCACTAACAAATACCCACACACCACACCTTTCAACTAAGCCCACGGAGAAACAGTATTTTTGCTATATGTGAGAATGAAGAATACAATGGATTTAGTGATTTGGAGTGAGATGGAGAGTTTGGTAAACTTGTTTATGTTATATTTATCTGAAGCACTGTTCATATGTGACGTTAACAGTCTGTTGTTCTCTGTTCTATTGTTATTACGGTAACTTGCCTTTCAAGATGAAATGTCGATGCTTGATCTCTGATTTTATAAAATAACTTATAATCCAGTGCGACTTACGTATGTTTTTTCTTCTTTATTGTGCATTTTATGGCTGGTGCAACTTATAGTCCAAAAACTACGATCTGTGATATTTAACAAAAAAGAAAATACCATATTTTACAGGTGCTCTGGATTATAAGGCGGACTGTTATTAAATGGTCTATTTTCAAACTTTTTTCACAAATAAACCTCACCGGACTTTAAACAAAACACAGCAGTTGAATGGGTCAGTCGGGCTTTGTTTGGTGCGTTCACGGTGACTCTGGGCTTTGTTCAGTTGTGGCGTGTAGGGAGGGTGCTGTCCGCTGGATTGTCGGCGTGTTCGCAGTGACTCAGTTGTTCAGTTGTGGCTCAGAAAGGCACATTGCACTCGCTTTTTCGGTTCGTTCCTCCGTTCCGTTCCTCGTCGGCGTGGAGTGATGAATGTGTCTGTGGGTGTTTTTCGCTGTGTGGTCGCTGTCTGCTCCGTGTGTGTTTGCGTGCGCTGCGGGTGGTGCGGCTTTGTAGTTTACTGAAGTCATGCTGGGACACCCGAGTGGATTCGTGTACAGGGCGCTCTGGCTTGCGGGGCGCGTGGTCGTATTTTGATGAGGTTAGAGGCTTAAGAGCGCATATAATTGCTCTGAAAATACGGTAAGTAATCCATGTATGTACAATATGTCATCTAAAAATGAGTGAGGTGTGAAACATATGAGCTATAAAGTGAAAGGGCTGTGGCAGAACTCAATGTGGTTGGGCCATGTTTGCCTGTTGGGTTTGACAAATCGCACCGCGGGGTACAGGGGCTCGGTGAACTGGTGGTGAACCCGGTCAAACACTGTCGTCATGGCGGCGGAGAAGCTCTGCAGCACGCCCATGGTTTCCGCGTCGTAGAACACCAGCTGACCCTTATCGAAGTGCACCCACACGCCCACACGCCTCACCCGCACCCGCCCCAACCCAACCCAATGGCACGCCACGTGTCTGTCGTTGTGCCACGCCGACAGCTTCTCGTTCCTAAACTCCACGCACCACGAGTTTCGATTACGACCGAGTTTGGATCCTTTGTCCCGCCCCTTCCTCTCCAGCCGCCCGTAAGCCACGCCCACAGCCCAACCGGAGCAGCAGCGCACGTCCACCTCCCAGTATCCCTGACCGGAGCAGAGCGGGGCGGAGCCAAGAGCGCAGCACACTCGGTCGAACTGAAGAGGGCGCTCCAGGGACGAACAGGCTGCGCCGTAGACCAGGCCTTGGCCGTCTGAGGTGACCGTGAGCTGTGGGTGACACGTCTGAGCGTCGACCACCACAGGGAGCAGGTCTGGGAGAAAACAAAAGTCATGGTTTGTCATTTGTGGCCTTGACAATCAGAAAAAATAGTATGATACGTCTAAGTTATACACATTATTATTATTGTAAATGTTTAATTCTAACAAATATTCATAATTCTAACTCAAACTCAAGAGTTCCCAAACTTTTCATGCTTAGATCCTCAAAATTATCATACACCTGAACCCCACTTTAAAATTATATTGAAGCCAGTAATAATTTCTAGTGCAAAATGTGTAAAAAAAAAAAAAAAATAAAATAATAATAACCTAATAATAATTTTATTCATTTTAAAAATTTTATTCACACATTTTTTATTGTAGCTTATTTAAAGGGCCCAAATTACACTATTTTCTGATCTATATTATAATGTTTCCTCATCATAATCTTACCTGGAGTAAGGCTGAGCAGTTAATTGAATTTTGATTGCGATTTTAATTGATCTCCAAACTCATATAATCAAGTTGAAACGATTAAAGCTTAACAAAGTTTATTTTTGGATTTTTTTAGATATATAAAGTATATCTATTAAATTTTTTAAACATAGAGATTGTAGAATAGCTGGACATATAGTTTATTTTAGATACATTTATGTTTTTCTATGCCTTATTTCAGGGGTGTCAACCTCAAATTCACAGAGGGCCAAAATTTAAAATATTGAATCCAGAATGAGCATAATATAAAATAATAACTAAATTTTAAATAAACAGTGTCTCTATAGCCTATCTGTAGCCGGCAGGCAGCTCTAATACATATTTGATATGAGCTCATGAGCCCAAATTTGGCCCCCAGGCCTGAGTTTGACATGTCTACCTTATTTCATGTTCAAAGTTTTATGTTTTATACATCGTAAAACTGCTCTAAGGTTCATATTTGTAGCCTATATTTATTTTCAATTTGAAAGTTTTGTGTAAATTATCAATAACCAAGTTTATTTTTGAGAGAGAAATGCAGAATAAATGCATTGTGTAACTAAAAAATATAATGGTATGAATAATCGTGATTTCAATATTCAAATATTCAATATTCAAATCATCGTGATAATGATTTTTTTCATAATCGAGCACGCATATACCTTTACTTGTGTTTTGTTTCATTCACACATGTTTAATACACAAGTCCTGCATATTTAGGCTGATGTGATTATAATTAAAAGGTCATTATTTACATCTCCACTATACTTTTTTAAAAAATCAGCATGCTTCATGATGTAACTTTTCCCTATCTCCTTATTCAAATGTAAAAAGCCCAGACTGACCCAGCAGCAGTGTCTTCCTCTGCAGTTGTGCCTTCAGCTCTTTGCAGACTGACGAGAGCATTTCAAGCAGCTTCTCAAATCGCTCCTCGTCCAGTCGAATGTTCTTCTCCGCTCCGTCAGATTTCTTTAAACTGGACAGGATCATACAGTTAAAGTACAAAGAACACTACTTCAGTTTTAACTTACCTGGAATCTTACCTGATAGTGTCCTTCTTGCCCTAAAACCAAAACACAAGTATGATTATGATTATACTTTGTTGAGAATTTTAAGAAGTTTATTATTTTTTAGTTGTCAAATCTCTTTTTAGATTTCCTGCAATTAGGTGTGGGCACTAAAAATGTATATCTTTTTCTGGATTTTCTTGCTTGCATTGCTTGAATGGACCATAAAATTAAAATATTGAAATCACAAATATTCAAATGATTTTTTTTTTTTTGTTACACAATGCATTTATTCAGCATTTCTCTCTCTCAAAAAACCCCAAAAACAAAAAAAAAAAAAACTAGGACTGGGCAAAAATTTTTAAAAAATATTCTGGACTTTTTCAAAATAAAAGCCAGTGAGCAACAGATGTTTACAAAAAATAAAAAATAAATAAATAATAAAAACTGCATTAAGGAGGGAAAAAATAATTGTCAGCGATAATGAATTAATTAGTTAACGCAAAATGAACCCATTAACGTGCTCGACCTTAAAAAAAAAACAACTTTATTGATAATTTACGCAAAATGCAAAGTGAAAATAAATATAGGCTGTACCTTAGAGCAGTTTTGCGATGTATAACAAAAACATAAAATGAATAAAATTTACTTTGAACATGAAATAAGGCATAGAAAAACATAAATGTATCCAAAATAAACTATATATTCAGCTGTTCTACAATCTCTATATGTAAAAAATAAAATAAATATGCATATTTATATTTTTAAAAGTCCCAAAATAAACTACAAATCATCAAAATCGTGATCAAAATTCAATTAATTGCACAGCCTTATAATAATTTCTTAAGCATGCATTGGCAGTAATAGTAGTAGTAGCATTAGGGGTAATTGTAGCGAGTATTTGATAGTACTTTTTGAGAGTATTTTTTTATTTTGGTCACATTATACCAGTTTAATAAGACTAGATTGAAACTCTGAAGAATCCTCTGGGTCGTGTCATACCTCTTTTTGTCCACCAGGGGTCGTCTTGTCTTTCAGTGCTTTCTGCGTGCTGCTTATCGTTTTTGACACCTGGTCCAGATGTTGGTTCCAGGTCTTGAGGACTTGGTCTAGCATAGCCCGGGTCCTCTTCAGGTCTATGTCCAGACTCTCCATCGCCGCCTGTTCGTCCTGCTTCAGCACCGCTCGCATGGCCTCGAAACGCGCATGAATCTGCTGCTTCATCACATCAGTTCTCGTCTAAATCCAGTTATTATTAGTTTACATTTTTTTCCAACTTTTTCTCTAGTTTTGTGGGAAAAATGGAGAACTCACCGCGAGGTCTGCCCTGCGTTTTTTTAGTGATTGGATGCGAGCTTCAGTCTTGGTCTTCTCTTCTCGCAGCTCCTCCAGTGTCTGTGACAGCTGCTCCTGTGGGATTAATGTTGTTTTTAGACAATGTTGTGAGGAACTTTCACTACTTCCCTATAAGTTTGAATTGTTAATTAATTGGTTGAGTGAATGCTTCATAATGACGCATGATAATAAAATGACAGGTGTTACAATAAACTGTTGTTTTATAGGTGTGGGCAATATATCGAAAATCCATAATAAAATTGCAATTGTTGTCCTAAAGATGGCGACAGTAGCTCAGCTGGTAGAGCATTTGTTCACTGATCCAAAGGTCAACCGTTTGAATTGCACCTTCAATGGTCAGATCCACTGGCCCACAGGTTGTCCGTGGGCATTCCAGCTCCCACAGATGAATCAATCAATCAATCAGACTTTATTTATAAAGCACTTTTCATGCAAAAATGTAACAAGAAGTGCTTTACAGTGATTAAAAACAATGCTACAGTTCTGGTTCTGGTTCAGTCCTGGCGGCCTCCTACAGAGGAAACTTTGGAAATCCTAAAAATGATAAAGGAATATGGGTTGAAGCTAATAAATAAATATAGTAAAATATGTGTAATAAAGTCATGTAAAAGTATAAAATTTCAATCAAAAATACACTGCTGTGTCCTTGAGCAAGACACTTAACCCAAGCCTGTGTTCACTGGTGTATTAGTGTGTGAAAGTGGAAAATCACTATATATATATACACTATATATGTGACATTTACCATTGAAATTAAACAATAAAAAATTACAGCAAACATAAAACGAGAAAAAATGTCTAGTGTAAACTTCCAGATAAGACATAAAGTGAGATTTCTGTGCTTTTGTGGTTGAGAATATATGGTCCATTATGGTTTAGTTTTGTGTCATACTTCAAGATAAAAAAACATCAAGATGTTAATTTTATCAATATCGCTCACATTTACGATTTTATACCTGTGCGGGCGACGCCGCTTTGGCCAACTTCCTCTGCAGCTGTGGCGAGCGCGGGAACGGCTGGACCCTGTCTTCAGTCGAGTCCAGTGGAGTGAGGCTGGCGGCGTCCTGCAGTACGCTCCGTCCACAAGTAGAGGGCGCCCCCGCAGACACGGCCGCTGCAGACTGGGCCACAGGTGCCACCGTCGCCGCCTCCTCACAGGACATTTCTGCTCAGGAATTAGGTCACTGTTAACCAACACTTGAAATATTTGTGTCAGCTGTTTTAAAAGAAACTAGTCCTGCAAGTTTTTGGAAACATGAGAACTAGAGCTTTCCCTGAAGGAGTTGTTATTGTTTACAATATCGAGCCTGAATATTGTTTTCACTTTGAGCCTGTTTTAAAAGACACAAGACAAGGGGTGTGCAAAAATACAGAAATATCGATATATCTTGATACTAAATTTGATGATACAGCAGTCCGTGATACAGAAGCGGATTTTTTTGGTATCTCTTAACTTTTTTTTGCAACCACACTACAATTTTGTGGATTTATTTAGTGGAAGGAAACTTGTTTATGCAATACACTTGACATATTGACTGTTTTGATGATTAAAATTCATGAAAACTTTGCACAATTAGTGGTTTAACAAAGAAATATTGTTGCTGAAGAGTATGTGGTTGTTAAAAAAGCAGAATCTCACAGAGTATCATGTGTTATATATCGATTACTGCACGTATCATTGTATCGTGATACTATTATAGCTTGAGCCATGTAGGACATCACATACAGATCATCTCACCACTTACAAACAACAAGAAAAGAAAACGTGTCCAACCAAAGTGTAAAGTTAACGTGAAAGGAGTCCGTAAACAATGCATGACGTGTTTTAGTTTTAAAAGTGCTAAAACACTACCTCATTTTCTAGTGGAGGGTCCAACAACTGCCTCTTTCTATGGAAATGTTACAGCTTAACAGAGGGGGGGACTTGCAAGTCGTAAAAATAGAGTCACTATTTTTAGGACTTGAGACTTGACTTGATAAAAATGGGCTAAGACTTGGGACTCGACTTGGACTTGAAGGTCAGTGACTTTGGATTTGACTCGGACTTGAGGCCTGTGGCTTGAGAAGCGTCGAGAAACACTTTAAAATCTGAATTCTTTCTGTTCTGACCGTAATGATTCACTCTAAGATCTTGTCAAGACATTTAAAAAGGAAAATGATCCATAATAATCACCAAATTTTCTATAAAACTGTGAATATTTTAAAGAAAGCACATCGAACAGTGTTCCACCGCTAAGTTTCACACAAATTTGAAGGTTTACATTTTATATATATTTTCCCTTTTTTAATAACTACATTTTCATTTGCCACAGTCACTGCACAGTAATGATGCACTCTGAGATCTTGTCGAAACATTTAAAAAGAAAAAAATGCATTTCAACAACTCATATATTCTTTATAAATATAATACTTACTGACTTTATATGTAAGTATAAGTACAGTTTATCTTAAAATTCATATAAATTGCAAATATCTAAGCTATATTTGGTATTTTGGTTTAAAGACTTGAAATAACTTGAAGCTCAACGCAGACAACTTGGACTTGACTTGGACTTATGGGCCAGTGACTCAAGATCCGACTTGGGCTTTCCTGTATTTGACTTGGGACTTGAGTCAGACTTGAGGTCACAGACTTGAGACTTACTTGTGACTTGCAAAACGACAACTTAAAAGCTCACAAGAGTCAAATTTGCGCAATATCAGCCCTTTAACCATCACTGCAATAGACACAATGAAGTCACTGAAGTAAAACTCATTACTCAACTTTACATGCACTATACTTTTGAGCACCTTACACAAATATAAATACTACTTACTAATTACTGACTTCCTCCTCCTATTGTGGATTATCTTATTTGATCAGCGGTTCTTCTCGTCTTAATCTTTTTACCTTCCTTCCGTCCCAGAAGAATGCTTTAGCTGCTCTCTCTTTGGGTGGGTGTGTTGATATTTGCACAAGCCGGGGCCTGCGCTGCACCCGGGCCCGACGCGCGTCACCCTGGAGACGCGCCACATGACCCGCGGCCCTGTCTATCTGTTATCCGTGCACCCTAGATAAGTCCCAACAGGCTAATTGTATCTATAATATCGCTGATGTTCACATATTTGACTTATTGTGTGTTTCAGGTTTGCCCAGTTCTACAGCCAGGGGGAGTTCTGCCACTACAACATGTTTAACCATCACTTCTTTGGGGGAGAGGTGAGAATTCAAAGCAATTACGTTTTAAAATTAAAGATTTGAAGTTGATGGAAACACAGTTGGGTAATATATAACGCAGCCAAAGTTTCCTCATTCACTTTCAGAAGGTCAAAGGTTTTTTTGTATGAAGATTCCTCGCTTTTCCAATGCTGCTTTTTATTTTTCGATGTTATTTTGTGGAATGAAATATAAAGCATTTTTACATTTACTTTATAAAAGAATACGTGTATCGTTCGTTCATTCCTTTTTCAGAATAAAACCAAAAATAAGTAAATGAAAAAACAACAATTTTCTTCATTATTTTTCTCCAAAAACAAAATGAAAAAAAACACGTAATGATTGGATAATGATTCAACTAAACCAGGAATAAACCAGGACTAAACCAGGATTAAACCAGGACTAAACCAGGACTAAACCAGGTCTAAACCAGGACTGATCCCATGACTGAACCAGGACTGGACCAGGTCTAAACCAGATGTAATCTTGGACTAATGTTGGACTTGAGAGAGAGAACCCTGAGCTCGCGGAGCAGGGTGTCCTCAAAGCGCGATCGGGCGACGGTTGCGTTGAGCCCCGTGGGCGCGGAGCTCTGCACCGGTCCTTTTGCCTGCGGTCACCCGACAGTCTACGTGGGTCCACCTCTGGGCCCATTCCGACACTCAGTCCTGGTTCAGTCCTGGTTTAATTCTGGTTTAGACCTGGTTTATTCCTGGTTCAATCCTGGGATCAGTTCTGGTTTAATCCTGGTTTAATCCTGGTTTAGACTTGGTTTAGTCCTGGTTTAGTCCTGGTCTAGTCCTGGTTTAGTCCTGGTTTAGACCTGGTCTAGTCCTGGTCTAGTCCTGGTCTAGTCCTGGTCTAGACCTGGTTTAGTCCTGGTTTAGTCCTGGTTTAGTCCTGGTTTAGACCTGGTCTAGTCCTGGTCTAGTCCTGGTCTAGTCCTGGTCTAGTCCTGGTCTAGTCCTGGTTTAGTCCTGGTTTAGTCCTGGTTTAGACCTGGTCTAGTCCTGGTCTACTCCTCATTTAGTCCTGGTTTAATCCTGGTCTAGTCCTGGTTTAGTCCTGGTTTAGACCTGGTCTAGTCCTGGTCTACTCCTCATTTAGTCCTGGTCTAGTCCTGGTTTAGTCCTGGTCTAGTCCTGGTCCTGGTCTAGTCCTGGTCTAGTCCTGGTTTGGACTAACTGTAGTCGGTAAAGTGCATTTTGTGAGATGTCGGAGACGTGATGAAGTAAAAGCGTCACAAACCTGACGTGACGTGCAGATTGTGTCGTTGTTTCACTCTGAAAGGGTTTTGTGTGGAGCAAAGGGGAGGAGGGACTCAAAAAGCATCAAAAACAAAACTGAATAACACTAAACCTTTCAATATTTTGTTTTTGGCGAGTACATCATTCTCAGAACAATAAAAGGTAACATGGAGATCTAAATATGTTCTGTGTTACCAGTTAGAACCCCGTAGAAATAAAATCCCCCTCTTTAAACTTCTTTAATTGTTGTTTTTGCAGGTTTCCAGGCTCATTCTCCAGAGTTTCCTCTCCGAGTCAGATGGAGATAAGGTGGTGATGGTGGCAGACCCTCCGTTCGGGGGCCTGGTAAAACCTCTGGCCCACAGCTTCTCTCTCATCTCTCAGGCGTGGAAAACCCAACAGAGCAGCGGTGAGACTCAGTTTAATCTTTACAATTTACCGTGACCGGATTGTATCGAGGCACAACAACAGTATGTGCTTTTGGCGTGAATCAGCAACTCTCTGGTTCATAAACAAATCCTGATCTCACTTAGTTTTTTATGTACGTTGTGTTTCCTCTCCAGACGGCGGCGTTACAGAGATGCCCATGATCTGGATCTTCCCTTACTTCTTTGAACCTCGCATTGTGGAGTGTTTACCCTCTTTCAGAATGCTCGATTATCAGGTGTGAATAATATAACAAAAAAGTCTATCACCAGGGTTCCCACGGTCATGGAAATCCTGGAAAAGTCATGGAATTTTAGTATCTCTTTCACGCAACTGCGGCTTTAAGTTCTGTTAAGTTCTCATGAGGATGTTTTGATCTGTCAAATAACTATCAGCGAGTGAAGATGCCCAACTTTTGCGCCGTATATGGACTGAACCAGGACTAAATCAGGACTAAACCAGGTCTAAACTAGGACTAAACCAGAAATAAACCAGGGCTAAACCAGGACTTAACAAGATCTGAACCAGGACTAAACTAGGACCAAACCAGGACTAACCAGAACTAAATCAGGACTAAACCAGGTCTAAACCAAGACTAAACTAGAGCTGAACCAGGACTTAACCAGAACTCAACCAGGACTAAACCAGAGCTAAACCAGCACTAAATCAGGACTAAACCAGGTCTAAACCAAGACTAAACTAGAGCTGAACCAGGACTTAACCAGAACTCAACCAGGTCTAAACCAGAAATAAACCAGTCCTAAACCAGGACTTAACAGGACTAAACCAGGTCTAAACCAGGACTAAATCAGGACTAAACCAGGACTAAAAATCAGGACTAAACCAGGACTAAACTAGAGCTGAACCAGGACTTAACCAGAACTCAACCAGGACTAAACCAGAACTCAACCAGGAACCAGAGCTAAACCAGACTAAACCAGGTCTAAACCAGGACTAAACTAGAGCTGAACCAGGACTTAACCAGAAATAAACCAGTCCTAAACCAGGACTTAACAGGACTAAACCAGGACCAAATCAGGACTAAACCAGGTCTAAACCAGGACTAAATCAGGACTAATCCAGGACTAAACTAGAGCTGAACCAGGACTTAACCAGAACTCAACCAGGACTAAACCAGAGCAAAACCAGGACTAAATCAGGACTAAACCAGGACTCAATCAGGACTAAACCAGGACTAAAGTAGAGCTGAACCAGAAGTGAACCTGGACTGAACCAGGACTAAACCAGGACTAAACCAAGTCTAAACCAGAGCTGAACCAGGACTAAACCAGGACTTAACAGGACTAAACCAGGACCAAATCAGGACTAAACCAGGTCTAAACCAGGACTAAATCAGGACTAAACTAGAGCTGAACCAGGACTTAACCAGAACTCAACCAGAGCAAAACCAGGACTAAACCAGAACTGAACCAGGACTAAATCAAGACTAAACCAGGTCTAAACCAGGACTAAACTAGGACCAAACCATGACTAACCAGAACTAAATCAGGACTAAACCAGGTCTAAACAAGGTCTAAAGCAGGTCTAAACCAAGACTTAACCAGGACTAATGTTGGACTAGGACTTGGAATCTAGGAGAGAACCCCGAGCTTGTGGAGCAGGGTGTCCGCCAAGCGCGATCGGACGTCAGCTGCGTTTATCCTCTGTGCGGCTCGGAGTTCCTGTGTAGCATGTTTTTTTGGGTTTTTTTATGGGAGACGTGAGTGGAAAGGGTTAACATTTCATATTTAGCCCTAAAAGTCTGGTCAATTCTTCATATCTAGGTGCCGTAAAGTCATGAAAAATTCACTTTAGGTCATGAAAAAGTTTGTGAAATTTTGTCAGTGAAAAAGAGCGAGAACCCTGTATGACATTTCTCTTTGACTCTGTATTTGTTTATTTAAATCAGACTGTTTTCTGTGTTTTGGGACTAGGTGGACTATGACAACCACCCCCTGTACAAACACGGGAAAACCGGCCGGAAGCAGTCTCCTGTCAGACTGTTCACCAACATCTGTCCCAGAGATCTAGTTCTGCCTAAAGAGGAGGGCTACAGGTATCCATGGTTACTAAAAACCTGAATAAAATAAAAAATTTAAATTAAAGCTTGAATATGAAAACCACCGCTCTGCTATAATACAGGAACAAAGTCGTGTGTTTGTTTGTATCATGATCTTTTTTCCCAGGTTTTGCTCTGTGTGTGAGAGATACGTCTGGTCCCTCAACAAACACTGTCCCAAATGCAACGTGTGTCCATCTAAGGTACCACCCTCTTCCATGCGACTCATTGTAAAACCCTTAAAACCGTATTTTTCTGACTATAAGTCGCACTTTTTTTCATGGTTTGGGTGGTCCTTCGACTTGTGCTCCGATGAGACTTATATGTTAAAATTTTCAGACTGACAGCCGCGAGAGGCTCTAGACTTGTGTGTCAGTATCTTGAACTACTATTTCTCCTGTACCACTGTCACTTCACTCTACTGCGCATGTCTCCTGCAGAAAGTCCTTTTGCAAATAGTGAAATATGCAGCCGAAAACGGTAATCGAGCAGCAGAAAGAAAGTTTGGAATGAGCAAGAAAACTTGTGAGGGACTGGCGGAAAGCGGGCATGGAGAACACAGCTTCACGGGAACCGGGAGGGTGCGCAATGCAACTTTCCTGGAAGTCAATGAATGATCGACAAAGCCTGAACTTCAGTGACACCGAAACCATCCTGTCGGGATTCAGAAAGGCCCGAATAATTCTAACTGGAACTGATGCTGAGTCTGACGACAGCTACATAGAAGAGGAAGTGGCGCTCTGTTTACCTCATGGATCTATGGTTTATCTCTGGAGGTCGCGTAGAAGTGACACCGAGGATGAAGAATTCAAAGGATTTAGTGATTTGGAGTGAGATCATGAATTTGGTGAACTTATGTTATGTTGTTTATGCTATAATTATCTGAATAACTGTTAATATGTTACATTAACATATTCAGCCTGTTGTTCTTTATTCTGTTGTTTTTACTATAACTTGCCTTTCATGATGAATTGTCAGTTCCTGGTCTCTGATTTTATAAAATATTTTTCCCCAAAGAGTGCGACTTATAGTCCGGTGCGAATTATATATGTTTTTTTCTTCTTCATTGTGCATTTTTTGGCTGGTGCGACTTATAGTCCGAAGCGACTTATAGTCCGGACAATACGGTAATTGCATTTTTGTAATTTTATTGTATTTACTGTTACAGGATGGACGTGAATGGAAGCACTGCTCTGTCTGTGAGAAGTGCGTTAAGCCCTGTAAGTATAATCATCTGCTTTTGTGGCATACAGCATCTCTGATATAAAATCAATCCAGCACAGACATTGATTAGCACGGACAAATCAGTAAGGCAGAGTGATGGTGGAGGGGGCATAAAGTACATTTATAGTATTGCACGTTTGGTGGATGATTAGTTGCGTGGCACATGTTGCTGGCTGTGACTGGGTGCCCACTACAGGCAAAAGAAACATTTGAATGCTGAATTCTGCTCTTTTGTTGCCATTTTGGAGGGAAAGTTGCTTCCAAACTGTGGAAGTCACTGGTTGCATGAACACTTTATAATAATTCACATCTACAAATCATTTATATTTTATTATTGACTAATAATTTACTAAAAAATTGTATTTGAAGTAAATTATTTGTTCAACTTTCACATTACTCTCTGTAAACTTTTGTCTTGCCAAAATCTGACCTGTTCATTAAATGATCAGTCTATTTATTTTAGTATATTAAACATAATTTGGGAGGGTTTTAGGTTTTATATGAGCCTTTTCTAAAACTCATGGATTAATTATAAGTCAGGTTATAAGCTGTTGTTTCCACAAAATGGATAAGTGACAAGACTTTTGTCAGGGACTGTACAAGGACTGGATGTAATATTTAAAAAAGTGTCTCCGTACGTCTCCAACACTCTGGCTCACGAGGAAATGAGGTCCTATGTCCAAAATTCTGGACTGTCCCTTTAAAATGGGAACTGTGTTTTCAGCCTGGAAGCATTGTGGAGCATGTGGCCGGTGCTGCCTCCCGGATCACTCGTGTGGCTCCAGCGCCGGACAGGGCTGCTTCAACTGTGGAAGTCTCAAACACAAGCGCAAAGTCTGTCCCCACAAAGACACCCAACGGACCAGCAAGTACGTCTACTGTAACGTTATGGTTTATCCTTATTTAACCGTCCTGTATTTTACAAAATTGTCTCTTGTGAACATTAAGCCTTGATAAGATGTCATGTCTACATCTCCAGAGCTCAAAATGCTCTGGTTCACCTTGTGATGTCATGAAGCAGTAGATTTCAACTTATCCGCTACCTTTTAGTTTTTGTTCAGTGGAGATTGACATTTCCAGGGCTGAAGTTATCCAAAATATCCATATCCACACAGATCAGATAATTTTTTGTTGTTCTACGAGTCAAAAAATAAATTGGAAAACACTCATTTAAATCTAAAACTCCCTTTTTTGTGACTATATTTCAACTCTGTCTTAGTTTTTGTTCAGTGGAGGTTATCCAGTTTAGCCCAATAGTCAAAAAATAAATTGGAAAACACTCATTTAAATAGAAAGCTCCTTTTGATTGGCACAGTCTTCCCTCAACGACTATTTTCGTGACTATATTTCAACTCTATCTTCAGTTTTGTTCAAATTTCACTTATTTTGTGTCTAACAGTCGTGTGTGTGTGTGTATGGTTGTGTTGATTTAGTTGTTTTGTCTTTTTTTTCCTGAATTTATGTAGCCTGCTGTCTGCTTTACTGTTTCTGTCTTATGCTGTTGTGATTCTGAGGACCCCCGCGAAAATGAGATGGCGAGACATGTCAAGGGGCTTATCCTCCAAACAAAATAAATGATTCTAGTGAAGATGGAGTTTAAAAACATAGTGGAGCACTTCCTGTATCATGGCATCACAAGGTGGAACAGAGTGTTTTCTTTTTGAGAGAAGAACTCAGCCCGAATATGCAGGTTTGTGTGTTAAACATGTGTGAATGAAACTAAACACAACTCCAGGTCTGTTTGTGATGAGAAAACAACATTATAACAGTGTCAGAAAACAGCGTGGGCCCTTTAATGTGCACAATATTACACACACAGTAACTTCTTGCTTCTTGTTTCTTTGTCTTTTCTTTAGAAACTGGACCAAAACCAAGACGGGGAACAAGATTGGGCCTGTCCTTAAAGCTAAAGCCAAGAGGAAGTCAGGTGCAGCGAGAAGAGCGAAGAAGGCAGCAGCTCTGTCCTCATGAGGTTCATTTAGTCATTATCATTATAAAATAAACGTAGCTGTTCTGTTACAAATAAAAGCATTTGAACTTTACCATATTGAAGTGTGTTGTATAATTACATTTTGCGATTGATTTACAGAATTATAGCCGCTTGCTTCATAGAAGAATTGAATAAAAACATTTTTGTAAACAGAAATGTATGAAAGATAATTTAAAGGATATTTCAGACTTATAAAATTAATTCGTCTTTTTTGTAATTATACCATAGTTTGAGGTATACAATAGAATAAAACTGTCATGCACAGCAAATCTGTTGCTTTTAAAGTATGTGATGAATATCAAAAGTATATTAATCTGTGTAAAAAGGAAACATGTTGAATACATAGTCTGCGTCAGAATGACAAAGACGAATAATCAATTCTATTTTTAATTTTTACCTAATCCAGTGCAAATCCTCTTTATTTCTACAGCACATTTTACAAACAAATCAGTTTCTAAAGGGCTGCACAGAGATCATAAAATGAAGACAACAAAGACAACAAACCAAACCAAAAATGTCCTGTAGGATAAAATAAACTGTAGAATCAAATTTAAGAATAAAATGAAACTGTAGAATAAAATAAAATTTTAGAATTAAAGAATAAAAATAAATTTTTAATGTATGCAAAAATGGCAAGATTTTGAGGCATTCTCATTTATTTGAACAGGAATATATGAATTTGTGTTTTGACTTTGGCTTTCTTTTGTGATGTTTTATTTTTTTTTTTTTTTTTTTTTGTGCACATAAATCAGATGTCACAAAAGAAGAAGAAGAAATAAATAAATAATATAATTAACAGTAATTCAATGTGACCATCCTTCTTCCCCAGCCGCCCCACCCTTCACCTCCCCCCACTGTCTCCAGAGAAAAGAAAAATAAAATAATAATACATAAATAATATTTAAAGAATATATTAAATATATATGTGTGTGTCTGTGATGTATTATTCTTGATGAACATCTGACCATGAGATATTTGTAGACGCTGTGTAGCACTCACTAGCTCTACTCTGTCTTTAACCTGATTGAGTATAGTTAAATTCATATTTTTATTTGGCTCACATTTTGGCTCCAAAGCAGTAACACAGGAGAGGCAGATGTATTATATATATATTTTTTAATTCATCAGTGGTCGAACTGGTCAAACAACTTCTGTTTTGTCCTGAACGAGGAGGAAAGACCGAGTGCCAAGTAGAGTTTCTAAATATAGTGAGAGCTTCCCTGATAATTCCCAGCAGACACTGATTGATCATTTCTCAAAACACATTATCATTCCAAACTATACAGAGCATATAGTAGCTGTCATTCAAATATATTTCATTTGAAGTGCCTTGCCTAAGGACACAACAACAGAACTTCTGAGTCAGAATCAATCTTCTGATCTTTGGGTTAGAGGACCACTGCTCTAATCACTGAGCCACTGTCCCCCCTTTACTATTAAACTACAAAATGCCGTAATGGCCCCAAATCCATTTTAACTGAAGAGATGTTTTAACCAAAATCCAGATGTGAACTTGAGCTTTGAGCACTGGAAGAGCTGGAGGAATTATGTGTGGAAAGGGAAGTCTTGGCCTCCGTGCTCAGGCTGCTGCCTCCACGACCTGGCCCCCGATAAAACCAAAGAAAATGGATTATACCTCTGCAAGATTATTATTCTCATCCTACTTTTCTGACATATGCCCAGGTCACTTAGATTCCCCTATGTAGCAGCATAAATTGTACAATGACGAAGTTGTTTATAGTATCATTTGTGTGCATGGCTGGTTATCTGAGGACAAACCACTTACCGTAATAAACACCCAACCTGAATGCAGGACGCCTTCCAGAATCACAGGGGAATAACTAACACGTAAAAGCTGTGAAACTTTTGTATTAGCTGACAGACAGGTTTGTCCAGTGCGCCTCCCCAGTGGCATGCTGCCTTAAACGTGTTGACACTCTGTTTGTGCCATGCTGAAGTGACAATGGTTGTGTTGTGGGCTCTTGTTGTGGTGGAGGCCTGCCTCTCCGCCCTGGTGCTCTGCTGTGATGTGATGGAGCACGGGGGGAGTCATGTGTGCGGGGCCTGGGCCCCCGGAGACATCATGATCGGAATTCTGCTGCCCTGTCACGGCTCCATCAAGAACCTGGCCACACGGACCAGCCCCGAGAGATACCAGTGCTCAGAGTGAGTACACTCATCTTTTACACTGTGTATTTTTTATTTTTAAACTTCCATCTTCTAATGCTGCAGATAGTTTTCTATTATTCAGAGGTGCCCAAAGTAAGGATTTTTTTGACACCATCTGCAGTATGTATTTACTCTACATGTTGTGATGCTAAGCTTCGTCTGTAGCCAGCTGCCCTGGGCTAGACAATCTGACTAGTACAAACTTTAAACCTCTGAGCCACTGCATGCAGCCTCAACTTCAGACGCTGCAGAACAGACACATGTAGAATAATATATTCCTGCAAAATCATGAGCAAAATGAATGTGCACGATGGAAAATATGTTATATTGAGATACATTTTTACTTTAAATACGCACCAAATGACTTCATCAGTCCCAACATTATTCATATTTTTCTATTTTACTTGTAGTTAAAGTCAAGTTCAGGAAACAAAAGCCAGTGGATGCTCAGCTCGTACTAGATCAGACCTGGGCATTGTCCACCTACCAGGCCACATTCTGCCCTTTGTTTGACTCTGATCGGCCCGTTTAAGATAATTTGGAATTACAAAATAAACATAGTTTGTACTTTTACCTCATGCATGGACTAAAGCTGCATTGCTTTTATTTTAGAGTTGTTTTTTATATGACATTTTTTGTAAGGCAGTCTCACTTTTTCATTGCTGAGTCATAACATAAACTCTTACCAGTCTGACCAACTTGTCAAAATTATATTTAATATTATGCAGAATTTAGTTAAGCATTTTGGCCCAGCCCTGTATTTTCTGTTTCTCATGTGGCCCCATGAAAAACATATTTGCCCACCCTTGTACTAAACTGAAAGATAAGCTTTAATAATGAGTAGCAAAAGAGGTTTGTCAAAAGTACTTTGTAAATAGCGTGTGTACATGTTTGAATCAAGTTACAACTCGAGGAAACACTGAACCAGCAATTTTGCTGGGGTTGGAATTTTGTTTCTTGTGAGCGTGTGCTTCAAATCTCTGATCAGACATTCCAGTCACTAATCTCTTTCAGACATGAATGCTGCTGAGTGTATACAGAAACACCCAGTGATTTTACTCGTACCCCCATCATATGTAACATGATTAAGTTATTACATTTTGTCCCATTTGTAAACTATATTTGACCTCCATTCAAGGTTTTGATATAAACAAACAGTCAAGGACGTGTCCTACTTTGGATAATGTGATAACATCAAAGTCATGACCCGGTCACTGCCCTCCCCTCCTCCACTGCACCAGTGTGACTCACCTGTTCACATAGTACATACTGGACCATGACTGATATACTTGCTTTTTCAGTTTTGAGCTAGTGCCCTTCATGAGGACGTTGGCAGCGATATATGCCATCGAAGAGGTGAATGCAGCTGGAATCCTCCCTGTGAGTCTTGGGTACATGATGTGTGACACCTGTAGCCATCCCAGCACAGCCCTGCAGAATGTGCAGCTAATGCTAGCACACAACCACACCCTGCGTACCCAGTGTGACTACACTGACTACAGCCCTGAAGTCAAGGCCATTTTAGGAGCGCGGTACTCCGAGACGTCCATAGCTGTGGCCAAACTTCTCAGTGTCTACATGGTCCCTTTGGTAAGCCTTGGCTTTTTCACATTGTATGTTGATTTGTTTGTTATCTCCCTGATCTTACGGATCAAATGTTTCTCTCAGCTGAGCAGCACCTCCTCCTCTCCAGCTCTGAGTGATAAACTGAGGCAACCAGGCTTCCTGCGCACAGTCCCCAGTGATGTGCACCAGACCAGGGCCCTGACTCAGCTCATGTCTCACTTCAGCTGGAATTGGGTGGGTGTTGTCTACATAGACGATTCTTATGGCAGAGCAGCTTTGCAAGGCTTTCTCCAAGACGCACAGAGGGCCAATGTGTGTGTCGCCTACCAGGAGGTGTTGCCCTTCCAGTTTGACCCTGAGCACAACGGCCCTGAAGTGCAGCGTGTGGTCAGGCAGATCCGCTCCTCCACTGCAAAGGTGGTCCTTCTCATTCTTAAAGGAAACCAGGTAGAAGCTATCTTTAAGGAGATGATCAAGACCAACACTCAGAAGATTTGGCTGGCCAGTGACACCTGGGCTGTACACGGGCCCCTGGCTCAGATGGAAGGCATCAACCAAGTCGGAGATATTTTGGGCTTTATGTTTATTAAAGGAAAAAGTGAATCCTTTGACAATTATCTAAGAAACCTGAGCGCTCCTCAGGGAGGGTACAACCACTTCATTGAAGAATACAAGAACCTTCGGTTCAACTGTACCCCTGAATGTTCCCAAGAGAACCCCCCCTCACACTGCCCCTCCCCTGAACTTCGCAAACTGAAGTCTCTTAAAGCCTGTGAGTCCAGTAGTGATCCACAGGCCCAGAATGATGACTATTTAGTGAAGACTCTAGACACTGGAGAGGCCTTTTTAGAAAGAGCGGGCGTCTGGGTTGTGGCTCATGCTCTGAAGAAAGTACTGCAGTGCAACAGTTCTGGATGCACAGGACAAACTGACTTTCCACCATGGAAGGTAAGAAACATGTGTTTTTGTTTGTCCTACTTCATAAATTATGGTGTTCAACATTTGTTCTTTGTGTTTTCAAGCTTTTGGAGGAAATGAAAAGAGTCAATTTTGAGTATGAAAACCAGACATTCTACTTTGATGAGAATGGTGATTCTCTGAATGGTTATGATGTCATAATGTGGAAAAAAGATGGTAATCGCAGGACATTTACAAAAATTGGAAGATACCGTGCTCTTGATGGATTAATCAAAATAGAAGAAACTAATTTAGCTTGGCTTTCAACAACCAATTCCACAGTAAGCGAAGCCTTTGCATTAATCAGCAGTTCCCTCCTGAACTGGTGAAGCTGTTCTCACGAGCTGTTTCTGTTTATTTGGTGCAGGTGCCTGTTTGCAGGTGCTCACCGCGATGTCCACCTGGGAAATACAAGAAGATTAATACCATCTCCTGTTGCTACAAGTGTGTTGACTGTGAGGAGGGCATGTTCACAGACGGCTTTGGTAGGTTTTACTTCTACACCAAAAACACAATTTGAAACACTATTTGTACAAAGGTTCCTGACTTGAAACCTTCCATTTCGTTTTCGTTTTGTAATTGCCTAAGTCTTTTTTTTTTTTTCTGGCCAAATTGTGATGTGATATCTGCCTAACTTTACTCTCCTACCACTGCTGCATCACCCTGCCTTATTGCCTATGTCCTCAGCCTATCAGAACACAAATCAGTGTCTGCCTTAGTCATTTCTCTATAGTATTCATAAAAAATACCATGTGCTTGTTAAAAAATATGTTGTTTTTTTTAATGTTTTCTGAAAACGTTCAAATATGACTTAGGCAACTATGCTATTAGGCTAAGGATTTTGTAAAATTACCAACCAAGAAACAAAATACTATAATGTTTGGTAGGTGTGATTGTAGAAGAACGTGACTTAAAATAGACAACACTTTCAGATTTATCATGATTTATGAATGATTTAAAAGCTACAAAACCTGTTACAGAAACAAATATGCTATTTTCCAAAACAGACCATGAAGAATGCAAAGTCTGTCCAAATGATACGTGGTGTCTGAAAGGAGCGGACCGCTGCATCCCCCGAGAGGAGTCCTACCTGAGCTGGGGCGATGCTCATCCCATTGCCATAATGGTCGCTACAGGGGTTGGCTTCCTGACCTTGCTGGTTGTTTTCATTCTTTTTTGGGTCTACAGAAACTCCTCTGCAATGAAAAGAGCGGAGGTTTCCATCTCCACTGTCATGATGGCTGGTTTGTTTGTTAGCTTCGCAAGTGTCATCTGCTTTATGGGGAGGCCCAGTATCCACCTGTGCAGAGCCCGCCAGGTCATGTACGCTCTTGGCTTCACCATGTGTGTCTCCTGTGTCCTCGTCAAAGCCTACCGCACGTTCTTGGAGTACCTGCCTCTTGGGCGGGAGCTCCGTCGCAGACTGGACAAGCTCTACCAGCCGGCTGCAGTCATCAGCGTTTTAACAATCCTCCAGGGAATCATCTGTTGTCTTTGGCTCGTCTTCGACTCTCCCGACGTCGCCCGCACGACCCCCTCTCCGCTGAATTTGAAGAAGGTCATGCGGTGTCACGAGGGCAACACCTACATCGGGTTTGGAGTCATGCTGAGCTACATCGCCTTTTTAGCACTGGTTGGTTTCTTCTTGGCGTTTAAGGGCCGAAACGTTCCTCAGCAGTTCAGCGAAACAGGCTACATTATCTTCAGCATGGTCATGTACTTGTTTGTTTGGGTATGCTTTGTCCCTGTCTACATCACCACTAAGGAAGAGAGAACAGCTGTCCAGGCATCTGCAATTCTTATTTCCAATTATGGTATTATCTTTTGCCATTTTATCCCAAAGTGTTACGAAGCAATATGGGGGCCAGATACGGACACCATGGAAAGGTTTTATAGTAGAATGAGGGGAGTGGCTAATGGGACACGTCCCTCGGTAAATCCAATTGTACTTCCTCACATTGACCTCCCGTCAGTCCATACAATCTTTGATGATAATATAAGCAACCATTCACAAGTAAATAACTCCAGCCCCACCCAAAACGAGGAGTCCTCTGTTCAAGATGATACAAACAGCCCCGATCCGGTCTTCACTCGCCCTTGTCACTACTCTCTGAGATACAGGCGTCTGAACACGGAAAGACGAGTTAGACTTAGAAGCAACTCCTGTTAAAAGTGTTATTCTGTTGTTTACTTGTCTAAAGGTGGAATATTGAGGGGGATCATCATCTGCTAGACTTTAAGGAGACGTTACAGCAATGCCTGTAATGTTCCACAATGTGTTAGACTTGGACTTAGACAAACTTTATTGATCCACAAGGAAAATTATTTGGACACAGTAGCTCACACATCACAATATAATATAATAACAAAGAGTAAAAAATATACATTGAAATAATGAATTCTAAATAAGTATGGCAAAAGGAGAAAATCAATTTGTCGACTGGACAAAAGTTTATTTGGTCAAATGCGTTTCACAGCTCATCCAACTTGCTTCTTCAGTTCTGGTCGGAATGCTGTTGGACACCTCTTTATACCTGCCTGAACGGAGGAGCTAACTACAGTGAAACTACTCTGAAACTAACACATATAAGTGTCTACCAGCATTCCCAGCAGACTGAATAAGCATCTTGGATGAGATGTGGAACGTTATGTGACCAAATAAACTTTGGTCCAGTTGACAAATTGAATTTTTCCTTTTGCCATGGATTCTACCTAGACGACAGGGATTGTACACACGTAAATAAGTAGAAAAAAAAGCAAGAGACAGGTGTCAAATAAGACATACCCTAAGTCGCTCCGGAGTATAAATCGCACTAACCAAAAAATGTGTAATGAAGAAAAAAAACATATATAAGTCACACTGGACTATAAGTTGCACTTTTTGGGGGAAATGTAGTTTATAAAATCAGAGACCAGGAACTGACAGTTCATCTTGAAAGGCAAGTTCTAGTAATAACAATAGAACAGAGAACAACAGACTGTTAACGTCACATATGAACAGTTCTTCAGATAATTATAACATAAACAACAGAACAAGTTTACCAAACTCTCCATCTCACTCCAAATCACTAAATCCATTGAATTCTTCATCCTCTGTGTCACTTCTGAACAACTCTGCAACCTCTGGAGGTAAACAGAGCGCCGCTTGTGTAGCTGTCGTCAGACTCAGCATCAGTTCCAGTTAGAATTATTCCTGCCCTTCTGAATCCTGACAGGATGGTTTCGGTTTTCTTTATGTTTGTTTACATTTTAAATTGTCAGTGATATCGAAGTAATGGTGCGATCGACTGACATGACACAGGCAGGACAACGGCTCTTTCTCTTTCTTCTGCAGCCGACATGCGCAGTACAGAGTGTGAAGTGATAATAGTACAGGAGTACATCAGTCTAGAGCCTCTCGTGACTGTCAGAGTGAACATTTTAACATATAAGTCACACCACAGTATAAGTCGCAGAACCACCCAAACCATTAAAAAAAGTGCGACTTATAGTCCAAAATACGGTAATTATATAAATGTAAATATACAAGTCAAAATAAAATAGAAAAATAAGTAATAAAATATAAAATTTCAGCTACATACAATAGGTCATAGGAGCAATGATATGATGATTGACAGGACATAGGGGTTATCCGTTACATTAGAGTGAATTGTTGTGCAGTTGTAGGGAGTATTATCTGTTACATAGCTTAAAAAGGTAGCGGTTTACAGGAAAAACCTCAGGAGCTGCTTTACCCTGCTGGTTCTTTCTCAGTGAGAACTATTGCTGTACTCTAGTCTGTTATTTTAATTTAATTTTATTATTTTTTGTGGCTTACTGAGGGGTCAAGTTCTCCAAGGTCCAGCTCATTTCACAGCAATATGCACGGGTTTAAACTAGAATCGACTTTTCACGTATAAGACAACTAACAACTAACAACTGTTGCCTTTTTGCTCTTGCTTATTATTACAATTTTTTATGTGTTTGTTTTGTAACGTATTTAGAATTGTACTCTATATCCTCCTGGGACCTGAAAAAAAGTGTATTGCAGTGTATGTATTTTTTGTGATTTTCTGTTTGGACGTAAATGAACACCTTCGCATTTAGATTTTGTTCATTTTATTTTTATTTATAATTTTATAACATGTCCTCTGTAACGAACGCAGGGGACATTTCACTTCTACAGTCAGTTTTTAGACTCTGTTAATTTCTTTTTTCTTTTTATATTTTTTTTATTATCATAGTGCGGCCACAAACTAATATTAATACTATTTAATCCATTTTTTATCAAGGACATGATTGGGCTGGGGGATTGTAGGGTAATATTTAGGCAGAGGAACCTTGTCCTCCCTTTAAAAGTCTATCTCAAAACACTTAAAAGACAAACTGGTTAACTCAGTGTCCACTAGGGCACATTATTTGCCCAACTTTTTGAAAAATTGTTTGAAAATCAATCTGTACCTAGTATCAATATTTTATTTTACACTTGCTAAAGTAAACTTCCATGAGAAATTTCATGAAATTCTATTGATGTTTACTGGGTCCACCGAGCCTCAGAAGTTTAGTGCCTTAAATCTGAGCTGAAAAATCTGTGTTTCTTTAATAACGTCCTTAACCTTTCTGGAAACTTGGGTTTACCAAACCCTGAGCCGTACCTGTCATTGAGACACTGTCACTCTCTGATCACTACAGAAAAAACAAACTTTATGTCTCTCATTTCATCTTTGGCCTTTGTGGATATTGGATAATTATGAAAAAAATACACAATTTTGACAAAATTATCATATCTTAGAAAGTTATGGAGATAGAGATATAAAATTACCAAAAGATGCACAATAGCAACATTTATATTCAACTTTCATTGACACCATAGACTTAAATGCATTATTTTTGAAGTTATTTGAGAAAAACTGATTTTTCTGCCAGAGCCTTTTGGACACCTTTAGGATGGAACTCAAGAGTCTTGGTGGACCCAGTAGATTTTATTCAATTCAGCTAATATTCCACAGATCTTCTTTTATTTGATATTGTCACGTTTTAAAATTGGGTACAAGTTGAATTTCTGACATTGGGGCAAATGATGCAGCCTAATGTCCTCTGTAAAGGACATAAATAAATGGGCCGGGTCTCAGGAGGATATGACCACTTTAAAACCTGATTGTATTTGTACACTTATTTTATTTGTGTATTCACATTTTATTCCTTTTTACTGTGACATTTTGGAAAACTTCTGAACTATTTTGTTAGTACTTTACTTTAAAAGGCCTATGTTTTTATTTATAAGTTGGGTAAATTGTATATTTCTTAGCTTTTTGCTGCTATATGTTATGGATGTGTATAAAAGAGGTTTGCCATTTATGGTATTTGTATAGTTATTGTCAGAGAACACTTAATGTGAATTCCAGTTAAATTGTCTTTTTTATTTTTATTATTTATTTATATTATGGATAATTGCATTTTATTGTTGGCCTGTTTTTTCCTTGTCAAATAAACCTCAATGTTTTAAATGTTTTAGCCAAGTGAGTAAGACAAGTGTGTAAGTAAAAAGTACTAATTATAAACTTTCAGGTTAAAATATTGCATTTGTCAGCCGAAACTGTCTGGATTCGTTCACTTGACGGTAGGCGGGTACTTTTTAAAAATTTAACCAGTCGCTGCTATTTGGTCGTGATGTATGTAATGCGCTGCTACCGGGGATAACTGGTATATTAAGCTTTTCCCAAATCCCGTAGGATGAAGGGCAATAACATCTTTCCCCTTGATAAAATTCACCAAACATTCTCTTTATTCCGGCTTTAAATCCTCGATCTTGGGAATCGTTGCTGACACAGAATGTATGACTCTTTGCTGATTGGCTGGTGCCCGAATTCGCACTTCCGAGGTTTTTGCAAACCGTCTAGTGTATTCTGATTCCTGACCTAGTCCCCGGAGAGAAATTAAATTGAGCGGAGGCACTAGGTGACACCAACCTGACTAGATGTTTGGGGCAACGCTTATCAAAGTACCTCAAAACCTTTGTTCTTGCTGCAAAAAAAAGCAATTTGAATAATCAATAAAAAGAGTTTTAGAGAGCACCACTCATCTGTTTAAGTCTAACCAACTTAAGTTTAAAGATTTAGTCAATCTTAAGATTTTATAAGATGTCTACGAAATTTTTTTACGTTTGTCTCGGTCGACTGTGACCATAGAAGACAGTATTTTTTCCGAACTGTCTCCTCAAGGACAACATTAAAACAGAAATGTGTCTCTGTGTACGGAGTCAAGATATGGAACTTGTTAAATCATGATTTAAAAATTGCACTAGTGTTTCTAAATTCAAGAAAATGTACAAGGATAAAATAATGATGGACGATGTGACTAAGGAAAATGTTTAAAGTTAAAGAAAGCACAGGAGAGAGATTGTAACGTGGCTCATTGATTGGTGACTTGGTTTGGTTTTTGGGGTGGGGAACGATTATTAAAGACATTTTAAATTTTTTGATCTGTGAAAGGACTGACCCAGGACTAAATCCGGACTAAACCTAGCTATTTGGTTGTGATGTATGTAATTCGTCGCTAACAGGGCTGACTGGTATGTTAAGCTTTTCCCAAATCCTGTAGGAAGAAGGGCAATAACGTCTTTCACCTTGATGAAATTCACCAAACATTCTCTTTGTTCCGGCTTTAAATCCTCGATTTCGGGAATGTATGGCTCTTCGCTGATTGGCCGGTGTGTGGTCTACAACTTCCGGGGTTTTTGCAAACCGTCTAGTGCAGGGGTGTCAAACTCATTTTGGTCCGGGGTTCGTATCCAACCGACTTTGATCCCAAAGGGGCTGGATCAGAAAACTCATGTCATATGAACCCCAAAAATAACAATAAGTTCAAATATTTGTGCAGAGAAACACAAATCTATTACAGAAACCTTTTTTAACTGATGAACTCTTTCTTTTACAAAATATTATAATATTATGAACAACCTGAAACTTAAAAAAAATAAAATAAAATTTCAACACAATGTTTTAACATGAACTTGTTTAAAATTAACTTGTAGAAATAGGAATAAGTACATTTTTATTGTAAAATCCTGCACTCGGCTCCACTTTTCTCATTTTTGTCATTTTGCTGATGAGTGTGTCACGGTCAACAGTCAAAACGATCGTCCTTTAAGAGCGTTTGGAAAGAGACAAGTCTTCATTTATGTTGCTCTGGTGGGAGGGGCCACGTACAGAGACGCTGGAGACGCTGCTGTGATAAACACCACAGAAAATTAACAATATTTTAATAAAAAATAGAATTTAAATATTTTAGTAGAAAATCAGCCGAGGGCCAGATTAAAGGTCTTGGAGGGCCGGATCTGGCCCCCGGGCCGCATGTTTGACACCTGTGGTCTAGTGTATTCCGATTCCTGACTTAGTCGCTGGAGAGAAATGAAACTGAGCGGTGCCAGTGACTATTAAGGCCAATTTACGGTCCAGCGTCAAATCGTCTGCATCACGAGGCTCCACCTTCATAGTTTAAATTTGTGGGTTGAATCCATAGGTTGAAACACGTGACAGGTTTTATGATTCAGTTCATAGTCATGCGGTAAAACTCCTCTGACTTGTTTGTTATCTAATCACGTGTTTTACTCTTCTTCCTCCCACCTGAGCTATGCGGGAAATTCTCCAGGTCGATCGAGGACTCAGTGGAAGGAAGAGCATCTCCAATGAACCATTTTTTTCAGAATGTACCTGCACTGCATTGTACAGCCTCACCCTGTAAAATTTCTGACAAATACTACACTAAAAACACTTACAGGTGGCTAAAACATCTCAGGTTGTCTCTCCACAGACCTGACCTGTAACTTTTCAGGTGTCTGTAACCTGCCTGTCTCCATGGAGATAGATTTGCTTTGCCTGATTTGTCCCCAAAATAAAATGGCACTAATAACAATAACTCCATCTCAGTAGTGAATGTTTGGTTTTAGTTTTAACTTTATATCCCGAGCAGGTGCCACGGAAACCTACCAGAAATCTACGTGGTGCTGCTTTAATGTCTTTTTGAAATCTGTATTTGTGAAATAAATTTTTTATTTGAAATATTTTTACATTTTTTCTCATCTCATCACAACTTTCTGGTATAGAAATATAAGTAAAGCTACATATTATATGGTCAAAGTCTGAACTGTTTGTAGAAACAAACTTTATGTGTTGATCTTACACTGACCCCTGGTGTCCAAACAGTATAAAATAGAAATCTTGACAAAGGCCGGGCATCTGGTGTAAAACCTGTGTGTCTATTAAGATTAGAAAAATGTGTGTATTTGTTTATTTTGTGTTGACCTTAAATAGAGATTTGAGTTTTTGTTTTTTACTGGAGCAGTGTAGTTTCAAATCATTTTTACAAAGTACTTTTACTCATATTAGGTAGAAAGTGGCAACCATTTATTGACTTTTTAAAAATATTTTTTTATTATTATTATTTTATTTATTATTATTATTATTATTATTATTATTATTGTTATTATTATTATTGTTATTATTATTATTATTTATTTATTTATTTATTCAACCCTAACCCTATTTATTTTTATTTGTTATTAATAATAGTAGTAGTGTACTTATTATTATTATTATTATTATTATTATTACTGTTAATTACACAAGAGAGCAAAAGAAAGAAAATAAAAGCAAAAAAAATAAACAAGACCACTTAAAGGTTGTATGGAGGATTTTTTTTCAGTGCGAATTTCGGTGCGAATTTGGTTTATTTTGAGTCCATTTTATTTTGTGTATATGATATTTGGCCAGCGGGATCAGAGTCTGAATGAGGAAACGGAGAACAGGACGTCACTTTCCTGGAGGCTCCACTACAAAAGTTACGAAGTTCACTTTTATTTGTGACGTTTTATAAGTATTTCCCCTTCTCATTTACCCAAAAGCAAGGCCGTATTTGAGTCATCTTTATTCTTATGCATTCAAGACACCATTGCTTAGAAAATTCACAATTCAAGTACCCCCTGCACACAGCCACTCCTCTGTACTTTTTCTCAAACGGTGACATATGTAGGATTCTGACGCACTTTTTTTTTTACCCGGGACAGTCCCAGTTTTGAGCCCTGTGTCCCTTGTTCCAGCAGATTTATACAAAACCAGTGATTTGTCCCAGTTTTATATTAGAAATGTCCCAGCTGTCCCTATTTTTGACCAGTTTAATCCCTGCCAACAGTAAAGAAAAAAAATAAATAAATAAATGAAATATGGGATTGTTTTTAATCACTGTAAAGCACTTTTTGTGGCATATTTAAAGTTATATAAAGTTTGATTGATTGATTGATGTAACATGGAACATCCTGATATTATTAAACTTCTTTCACGTAACTATTTATCTGGATATGGAGTCATTTCTTATCAACCACATTCTCCTGATTGTTTTAGAAGTCACATCATCAGTGGTCTACACACACTGTTGGGGAGTAACAGATTACATGTACAGGAGTTATGTAATCAGAGTACAAATTATGAGTAACTGTATTCAGTTACAGTTACTGTTTCCATGAGAGGTAATTGGATTACAGTTACTTTGTTGAAATAAATGAGATTACACGGCGGTATTTTCCTGTTTTCACATTTTGGGCTGTATCCCTTTCGTTTTTTTTTTTTTTTTTTTAACCAAGTCTAAACCAGGAATAATTCAGGATTGAACCAGGACTGAACCCAGGACTAAAACCAGGTCTAAACTAGATCTAAACCAGGGCTAAAACCAGGTCTAAACCAGATCTAAAACCAGGTCTAAACCAGATCTAAAACCAGGTCTAAACCAGATCTAAAACCAGGTCTAAACTAGATCTAAAACCAGGTCTAAACCAGATCTAAAACCAGGTCTAAACTAGATCTAAAACCAGGTCTAAACTAGATCTAAAACCAGGTCTAAACCAGATCTAAAACCAGGTCTAAACCAGATCTAAAACCAGGTCTAAACCAGATCTAAAACCAGGTCTAAACAGATCTAAAACCAGGTCTAAACTAGATCTAAAACCAGGTCTAAACTAGATCTAAACCAGGGCTAAAACCAGGTCTTAACCAGATCTAAAACCAGGTCTTAACCAGATCTAAAACCAGGTCTAAACCAGATCTAAAACCAGGTCTAAACCAGATCTAAAACCAGGTCTAAACCAGATCTAAAACCAGGTCTAAACCAGATCTAAAACCAGGTCTAAACCAGATCTAAAACCAGGTCTAAACCAGATCTAAAACCAGGTCTAAAACCAGGTCTAAACCAGATCTAAAACCAGGTCTAAACCAGATCTAAAACCAGGTCTAAACTAGATTTAAACCAGAACTAAAACCAGGTCTAAACTAGATCTAAACCAGGACTAAAACAGGATTTAACAGGACAAAACCATGCTGCACGGACCGTGTCTCCTCCTCTTCTATCAATAATATTTTAATACAAATAAATAAATTAAATTAAAGTTTAGTAAAGACTGGGCTTTTTTATTGTCTTTTAGCGGAAAAAAACATCTTATGTGAAGATTTCCTCGTCTTTGCTTCTCTACAGCAAATCAAGTAATCCAAAGTATTCAGATTACGTTACTCACTTTAAGTAATTTAATGGATTATGTTACAAACTACATTTTGGTGTATGTAATCTGTAATCTGTAGGGGAAAACATTTTAAAAGTCACCTTCCCAACACTGTCTACACACGACAACAATTTAATAATCACATGAATTTTATCAAGGCCGTTTATTGTATTGTCTGAATTGTCAAAAATCATGTAATGTCATTTTAAATTCTTTTACTATTTAACTAAAAACAGCACACATACAAATATCTATACTTTTATTTATAAAAGTGTAAATCACAATATGATAAGACTTGTTGTAACACAGAATCACAAAAATGTGTACATAAAGTGCAAAAAACTGTTCCTGAAGATGTAATAAATGTGTAGATAATATTTGTAGGTGTCATAACAAACATGCTGTTATTACTGAGGGACATTTGTGTCACACTGGAGTAAATGATGAGTCTTGGTTCCAGCTGTCCTCAGAGGGGCTTGCATCACTAACAGCGGCTGAAAGCACAATTTGCAAGTTTGTATTAGAGAGGTTTAACTTGAAACTTAAAAACAACAAAATATTTTATCGGAAGTGTCTTTCATTTAGACCAGGGATGTCAAACTCAAATTCACAGAGGCCCAAAATTAAAAACTGGGACTAAGTCATGGGCCAAACTAAATATTTATTGAAAAATTTCAACAACATCTGCATGTTTTCTCATCTTTCGAGATGTTAAACCTTTTCTTATTAACTTATAAATGTTTAGTAATAGTTTTGCTTAAACATTGAATCCAGAACAAGCATAATATAAAATAACAATATTTTAAATAGACAATGTCTCTATAGTCTATCTGTAGCCGGCGGTCCAGCCCTAATTAGGGGTGTGCAAAAATATCGGAATATCGATATATCGTATTGTTTAATGTGATGATACATGATGTGATATCATGGGCTACTGTATCAATATATCAGCAAGAGTATTTTTACGTGTGTTTTACTAAATTATTTTGTTACAGTGCTACAGTTTTGTGGCTTGTGGAGTGAAAGGAAACTCATTTATGCAACACATTTGACCTTTTCACCATTTTGATGATTAAAATGTTTGTTTCATATGAATTTTGCACAAGAAGTGGTTTAACTAAGACTTTAGTATCACAGCCATGTTTTAGACTTTATTTTTTATTGAACCGTATCGAATTGATTTGAAATATATCATATCAAATCGAAAGTGCACTGTATCGAGATATGTATCGTATTGTGGCCTGTGTATCGAGGTATGTATCGTATCGGCAACTTCTTAATGATACCCAGCCCTAGCCCTAATACATATCTGATATGATATCGTGGGCCAAAAAAAGTTTGACATGTCTGGTTTAGACGGTGATGGCATTTTGGGGCATAAAAATGCAAAAATCTGAAACCACACTCCAGAGTGGAAAAGTTAAATACGCTCTGACTTGGCGTTTCCATCCACACTCCCCAAGACGCAAAACTCTGGTCAGATCTGCTCACGTCGCGTACTCGCTTACGTCACATACATACAGTACACAGAAACAAACACGTCGGGTGGCATGCATACCCAATCGAATTCCACACACTTTTGCCTCACTGTATGAAAATGAATGTAAGTTCCCAAAAGTGTGTGTGTCATACCTCTCTTTGAGGAGGAGAGCAGCAGTTGACCACCTTTACAGGCGTAGACCATCAGAGTGACAGAAATGGCAAAGAGAGCGACGTGGACGAGCAGTAACTCAGCAAAAAGATGCATATGGGCATTCTATGAACACAAGAGGACGGACAACAAACACTTTACAATGACAATAAAGTGAAGAATCTACTGCTCTTAAATATAAAACTTTTTGGATCAAAATATTAAATAATAATAAAGTATACATACACTCAGGTTCTTGCAGTGTAGTTTGTCTTGGTTTGTTGAAGAGTAATGGCAAGGAAAATAAAATTGCATGTCATTCAGGATGAAGAGTATGTTGAAAAAGCAGGCCACACTGGACAAAAACTCCATTACCAGACAAGCCCTGATCTTGAAATGTATTCAAAAAAATGCTTTACTATTATTACAATACAAAATACAGGAATATTTTTTATAATCATTTTCTGCTGTTATTTACTCCCAGTGTATTTTTGTTTGTTCATATTCACTTGGACATTTGATTTGTACTTTTTACCGTAGGAAGATGCAGATTTTTTGCTGCTATGGCCAAACATCCTCCAATTAAAACCTGCAAAGTGAACGTTATATTAGCTTCAGCAGGATGTAAAAGAGCACAGAAGTAAAATGTAATGTGCTCAATTAAAATAAAATGAAAAAAATCTGGAAATCCTGACTGACTTACAAAAACCGATGCAATGATATATGTTATATTCATTGACCATCTGCTCAGACCAGTGTACACAAAGGAGGCTATACAGCTTTCATGGAAGAGGATCAGGCATATTTGGGTGATCTGGACATTGGCAGGGACATAATTGTTAATTATGTAAAATAAAACACAATAACAGAGTAAAGACAGACCCACCCCCAGGGCCTTGGGCTCTCCCTCCAGAAACTTGAGCTTTCTCCTCTCGTTCCCCTGGAAGGACACAGACACCAGAGGACTGTGGGACAGTCCCGTGTCCGCGTCCACAACAGCCGCTTCTGCAACAAAACTACATGTTACGCCATCACTGTTCACATCCTGTTTTTCCAAGCGTCGTGATGCGCAGCACAAACATCTGCTCCACACTCAGCTCCACAGACCAATGCTGTTATTTACCTGCCATGTCGCCGGTGCGCGCTGTGCGTCACTTATGCGCAGTTTCCACAGATTTCACGTCCCGCTGTCTGAACTTTCTCCTCTGTGCGCACAAGCTCCGTTATATTTCCATGGTTCCGCCCTGAGCGTGTCCCTGTGCTCCCACTTCCTCTCTCTGTGCAGTCAGCTGTTCAGAGGTAAACACACCATTGGCTGCTCTGATCAGACAAAAACTGTCCCACTGACTGTAAACGATTACTGTATATCACAGGTGTCAAACATAAGGCCCGGGGGGCCAGATCCGGCCCTCGAACACCTTTAATCTGGCCCTTGGCTGATTTTAATTAAAATATTGGTAATTTTCTGCTGTGTTTAGCATAGCAGCATCTCCAGCGTCTCTGTACGTGGCCCCTCCCACCAGAGCAGCACAAATGAAAACTTGTCTCTTTCCAAACGCTCTTAAAGGACGATCGTTTTGACTGTTGACCGTGACACCCTCATCAGAAAAATGTCAAAAATTAGAAAAGTGGAGCCGAGTGCAGGATTTTCCAAGAAAAATTGACTTATTCCTATTTGCATACAAGTTCATGTTAAAATATTGTGTTGAAATTGCATTTTTCTTAAAGTTTCAGGTTGTTCATAATATTATAATATTTTGTAAAAGAAAGAGTTCATCTGTTTAAAAAGATTTCTGTAATAGATTTGTGTTTCTCTGCACAAATATTTGAACTTATTGTTATTTTTGAGGTTTATATGACATGAGTTTTCTGATCCAGCCCCTTTGGGATCAAAGTAGGTTGGATATGGCCCCCAGACCAAAATGAGTTTGACACCCCTGCTGTATATGATAAGAAAGTGGGCTATTTGTGTTGAGGTTAAAATGACACTCTCAGAACACTCAAAAATAAGAATCTCTGCCTGGAATGTTCCACAGTATGACATAATCCAGCTATAAAACAAACTGTTGTTTCATAGCTGGATTATTCCAGGGAAAGTAATAACATCTACATGAAGAACAGCATCTGATGGACCAGCCACCAGAAAAGTTACTGCTACCACCGAAGATGCTGTGACAATGCATCCCCTCTTCAGTGTGGGTGAGCCACCACAAGCTCCCTGCATATCCAGGGCCCTACACCACCAGGGTCAAGACAGTCATTCAACATCTGTGTTGCAGAAAGTGTGACTGGGAAAACCCTGCTCTACCAGATCAGTTGTCTGCCCCAAGGAGACAGCAGAAGACTGTACTGTCCCTCTTTCTTCATGTAGATCACAGGTGTCAAACATAAGGCCCGGGGGCCAGATCCGGCCCTCCAAGACCTTTAATGTGGCCCTTGGGTGATTTTCTTCTAAAATATTTTAATAATATTTTCTATTAAAATCTTGTTAATTTTCTGTGTCTCCAGCGCCTCTGTGCGTGGCCCCTCCCACCAGAGCAGCACAAATGAAGTCTTGTCTCTTTCCAAACGCTCTTAAAGAACGATCGTTTAGAAAAATGAAGCAAAATGTCCAAAATGAGAAAAGTGGAGCCGAATGCAGGATTTTCCAAGAAAAACTGACTTATTCCTATTTGCAAACAAGTTCATGTTAAAACATTGTGTTGAAATTAAATTTTTCTTAAAGTTGCAGGTTGTTCATAATATTATAATAAGAAAGAGTTCATCAATTAAAAAAGATTTCTGTAATAGATTTGCCTTTCTCTGCACAAATATTTGAACTTATTGTTATTTTAGGGGTTTATATGACATGAGTTTTCTGATCCGGCCCTTTTGGGATCAAAGTCGGTTGGATACGGCCCCCGGACCAAAATGAGTTTGACACCCCTGATGTAGATGTTATTACTTTCCCTGGAATAATCCAGCTATGAAACAACAGTTTGTTTTATAGCTGGATTATGTCATACTGTGGAACATTCCAGGCAGAGATTCTTATTTTTGAGTGTTCTGAGAGTGTCATTTTAACCTCAACACAAATAGCCCACTTTCTTATCATATACACAAATCGTTTACAGTCAGTGGGACAGTTTTTGTCTGATCAGAGCAGCCAATGGTGTGTTTACCTCTGAACAGCTGACTGCACAGAGAGAGGAAGTGGGAGCACAGGGACACGCTCAGGGCGGAACCATGGAAATATAACGGAGCTTGTGCGCACAGAGGAGAAAGTTCAGACAGCGGGACGTGAAATCTGTGGAAACTGCGCATAAGTGACGCACAGCGCGCACCGGCGACATGGCAGGTAAATAACAGCATTGGTCTGTGGAGCTGAGTGTGGAGCAGATATTTGTGCTGCGCATCACGACGCTTGGAAAAACAGGATGTGAACAGTGATGGCGTAACATGTAGTTTTGTTGCAGAAGCGGCTGTTGTGGACGCGGACACGGGACTGTCCCACAGTCCTCTGGTGTCTGTGTCCTTCCAGGGGAACGAGAGGAGAAAGCTGAAGTTTCTGGAGGGAGAGCCCAAGGCCCTGGGGGTGGGTCTGTCTTTACTCTGTTATTAGGTGTGTTTAAGATGCTGAAATAATCGCCTGAATCGTCCTGAGAGCGCCTCAGGTTGGACACTTGACGAGCCCCAGATCACGCAGAGTCTCGCTGACAGGACAGATCTCGCGTTCATTTGAGGTGTTGCGCTGAATCAAACTACATAAAACTTGGTGAATACATTCTCCTGTCTCCCCACACACCACGGACTGACCCCATATCACCAGAGCAAAGAACACAGAGCTCGTAATAAAGTTTACACGCTTAGGCCTGATCTGTGGTGAAAATGACTTTTTAAAGATCATACATCGATCGTGTTTGTGTTGTACAACATCCGGGCCCTTTTCTGTATGATTTCAAGCATCTGTGTTGACATAAAAGTAGAAAGAGGATGGAGGGACACTCCTGGGCGACAGAGCGTCACGTTTCATCAAAACACATCAGGTCCAATCAGATGTCAGTCTGCGCCTGTGAGTTTGACAGTGCTGCATTTACCGACATGATTTAGGCTTTGTAATCCATGAAGGTGGGTGAAAGCAGCTGCAGGTGCCTTTTTAAGTCTTCACCCTCCTTGATCTCACGATCACCAGTGCGTGCGGAGCAGTTCACCGTCCTGCTCATCTTAAACACACCTAAAATATGTTCTACTTTACACGATTAACAATTATGTCTCTGCCAATGTCCAGATCACCCAAGTCTGCCTCATCCTCTTCCACCTAAGCTGTATCGCCACCTTCAAGTACACTGGTGTAGGCAGATGGTATTATAACATACAGGAATTAATTGCATCGGTTTTTGTAAGTCAGTCAGTATTTCCAGATGTTGAGCCGTACATTTTACTTCTGTGCTCTTTTACATCATGTTGAAACTAATATAACGTTCACTTTGCAGGTTTTAACTGGAGGATGTTTGGCCATAGCAGCAAAAAATCTGCATCTTCCTACGGTAAAAAGTACAAATCAAATGTCCAAGTGAATATGAACAAACAAAAATACACTGGTGGAAAATAAAAGTACAAAATAAGTATAAACATCTTCCTATATTTTGCATTGTGCTAATAATAAAAACATTTTTTTTTATACATTTCAAGCTCAGGGCTTGTCTGGGGATGGAGATTTTGTCCAGTGTGGCCTGCCTTGTCAACCTGATCAACAGCTCGATTCAAATGGTGGATCGTTTTTTTTTATGTGATTATACTATAAGAAACCCATACAGACAGAACTGCAAGAACATGGGTGTATGTATACTTTATTATTATTTAATATTTTAATCCTAAAAGTTTTGACTTCAAGAGCAGTAGATTCTTCACTTTATTGTCATTGTAAAGTGTTTGTTGTCCGTCCTCTTGTGTTCATAGAATGCTCATATGCATCTTTTTGCTGAGTTACTGCTCGTCCACGTCGCTCTCTTTGCCATTTCTGTCACTCTGGTGGTCTACGCCTGTAAAGTGGTCAACTGCTGCTCTCCTGCTCCGAAAGTGGTATGACACACACACACACACACACACACACACACACACACACACACACACACACACACACACACACACACACACACACACACACACACACACACATTGACTTACATTAATTTCCTGAAAACTGATCCTAACCTTAACCATAGTCATTAGGGATGGGCATTTGATAAAATTTTCTTAATCGGATCGTCGAGAGAATTTACGATTGATTATTGATTAATTATTAACGTTTTTATATTAAAATTATCATCATTGTTATTACTATCTGCACTACTAATCTGCATAAATAAATTCAACTTTACGACAAATAAACCGTAACCACTCTAGAGCCACATCAGCCCGTTTGACATTATAATGTGTTTAATGCAACCGTACGGGGGGAGGTGGGGACTCGTCATCGACATTGCGCGACTCTCACCTGGTAAAGCTTTTTCCCACTGGACACTGAAACATATGTGCTGCTTTGTACACTGTGCACATGGACTCACACTTGTCCCGACCGGAACGGAAAGCGTGGAATTTCTTGTACAAGTCATCGTTAAATACACATTTGCGCTTCGACACGTTGCAGACTGACCAACTGTCTGTGTTTGCTCGCTCTTTCTGAGTGCAGAGAGACACATGTCCGGACCCCTGTTTGGTCACACTACACACAGCAACCTACATTTGATTTGTCGATTAAAATGAACGTAATCAATGAAATTCTTAATGATCAATTATCAATTAATCGACTAATCACACCCATCCCTAATAGTCATACTTGCTTAACCTTAAAATAAACCCTAAACTTAACCTAAATAAATCCATATCTTAACATTAAGTCTTGTTCTTGATCTAATAATGTTTACGTCATGGGGACCTGATTTTTGTCCCATAAGAGAGGCAGGTGTCCTTGATGTGGTAAATGCACCCAACAGTATAAACAAATGTCTGTTTTTAACACATTTGTATCAGTGTAGGATTTTCTAAATAAAAAACTTAAACCTCTCTAATATAAACATGTAAATTGTGCTTTCAGCCGGTGATAATGATACAAGCCCCTCCGGCCCCTCAGTGAGGACAGCTGGAAACAAGGCTCATCATTTACTACAGTGTGACACAAATGTCTCTCAGTACTAACAGCATGTTTGTTATGACACCTACAAATATTATCTACACATTTATTACATCTTTGTAACTGTTTTTCGCACTGTATGTACGCCTTTTTGTGATTATGTGTAACAAGAAGTCTTATCATATTGACTTCATATACACTTTATGCAATTCCGAACTACATAAATCACTTATTTGAGTTTTTAATAGCTTGTTTGTGTGTATTTTTTAGGATTTACTTTTTTAATAAATAAAATATGGGTCTATGGATCATACCTGTAATAATGTGACTTCTGAAACATGTACTATTTAATTTACACACTTATATGCATAAACACATATATAAATACATACATATACACATATACATACAAGCACAAATATGTTTTTGTTTATGTTTGTACTAACTAATAAAAATGAAAAAGAAGGCACAAAAGTGTATTGTTTATGATGGTACAAAACAAAGGTGTTGTTAAAGAAAAGTATGTGTTTAGTTAATAGTCGTGGTTTTACTTGTCTTGTGTCTAGTACTTGTGGTACTACTTTGACACAATGTCTTTAGTCTACTAGGTATTTCTGTAAGATTTGATTATTAAATTGCTTTTTGCAGTGCAACAAGTTCGTACAAGCTTTGATATGGTCGTCTGAGCTGTTCCATAAGTCTGCTCCTCGTCTGGTAACACTCACACTTTGGAGAGTCCTTCAAGAGAATTGTTTTTTAAAATTCATTTGACCTCAGGTTGTATTTTAATTCATTTGTGCAGAACAGTTTTTGAATATTATCTGAGTTTGGGTGAGTTTCACTTTAAAGAGAATTTGGCAGGTTTTAAATTTTACCAGGTCCCCAAATTTCAGTATCTTTGGCAAAAAAGTGCATTCGTTTATTCTCTATATGCAGCTAAGTGAACTATTTGTATTACTTTTTTTGTAATTTAAACAATAAATGTGTGTTACTTTTATAAGAATTCCCCCAGACCTCTACAAAGTAACTTAAATGGGGTAAGATAAGAGTACAGTAGATTGTATACACAGCTTTTTTATTTAGAAGAAATTAAGATTTGTTCATCAAGGCTATAACTTTTGCAATTTTTGTTTTAATTTGATCAGTGCCTGTTTCCAACAAAGTTTGTGATCAAGAGTGTGGTCTATCTATTATCGATAATAAAATAAAAATAAAAAATATAGGAAAGCCATACATATATTTCTGGTTTATTACGACCATGAAACCATGAAATTTCTGAAAAAAATCAATATAGTTCCCTTTTAAATCTTAAGCAATCTTGAACCCATTTCCATTCAGTTTCGTGACATGACTTGCTCCAGGAACCTTCTCATAATGTTTTGCAAGTTTCCTTTTTTCTAGTGTTCTTTGATTGATTTACTGCCACAGCTAAACACTTTTTTTTTGTTTTTATCTTCTGTTATTGAGTTATAGTGCAAAGACTTGAAACTATACACATGTGGAGAGCTGTGAGTCATTTGGAATAGAGCCGATTCTTGACGAATGAAGACCAAAGCTAGACTGACTGGCACAGATTATTTAAAGGTGCATTGTGTAACTGTGAGGAAGGATGTGCTTCTTAGCTGAATTTATTTACTGGATCGCTAAGGTGGAACCCACAGCAGGTGATCGGTAAGAATCACTGTGACGCTTCACTTGACTGGAGAATATTTATTGGAGGCTGTCTGATTGTGATGAGAATATCTGGGTGTGTGTATGTGTGAGGTTCTGAAACGACGAGAAAATATAAACAATAATGAGTAATGTGCTGTACACAATATGAACAAATAACATGTAACAACTGAAAAACCTTAATAAACCTGGTACTGACAGAAATTTCTACATATATTTGGCACTGTCAGTTTCACCACAAGGGCAGAAAACGAATGTCATTGAAATTAAAGGAGCTCCATCTGGTGGTCGCGAAAATGAATAACAAGCATGGCTCCCTCTGGTGGCCACGAAGGTAAATACAATGCCCGGTCGAGGCCTACCCAGAGACCACGTGACAAAGCGTGCTCCGGGCCTACAACTAATTAAGTACATAACTAGAGATATAACATAACTAGAAGATTTACGTTAGAATATGAATGCTCGTTAAGGGTAAATAGAAATCAATTCAACATGGCACGGTAAAAAACACAACATGATGCATATAATGAGGAACAAGGTTAAAGGAAAAGTAGGTCCAAGCTAACAATAAAGTACAGCGAAGAACAGAAAATATAAAACTCACTCTCATTGACACACATTAATCGTCCGTTTTTCCCTGGACATGTCCATTTTTTGCGTCCTGTCCTGGGTGTCCGTTTTTTTTTCATAAAATTACGCAAATGTCCGGGTTTTCATGATCTTTCACTGGGCCATTAAATTGAGCGGCTCTTGTAGCTCTGTGTAACTCAGAATGAGTGAGCAGACACAAACAGTCGGTCAGTCTGCAACATGCCGAAGTGTAAATGCACATTTAACAATGACTTGTACAAGAAATTCCCCGTTTTCTGTCCCGGTCGAGACAAACAGGAGGTCATGTGCACAGGTTGCAAGGTGAGAGTAGCTCAATGTCCAGGCCCCATCCTCCACCCCCGGTAAGATGTTTTCACAAACAGAAATATGGTCACTTCATGAGCCCCCTGGTTGCTTCTATCCAGACTCTGAATGGGGCGGCCCCAGGCAACGTCTCAGTTGATGACTACTGCCAAACTCCACTGCCACAGCAGCGACAGGCACCACTCACCTGTTTCCCTGTTGACAACTGTCAGTGGTGATCAGCTCCCTTCTCACACCAGCCACAATGTTTAGTGGTGACCAACTCATACATGTTGATGGATGTTTACGCCGCAGCAGCCTGACTACCATCTACAGGTGCTTTTTCTTAAGTTACAGTTTTCCTACAGAAATCGGGGGGCGGCAGTAGAAATGGCCCCTTGTGACCACAGACTTTGACACTAACTCTCTCTCCTCACTTGCCCTGGACTCTCATCCAATCAGAAGTCACCTTGGACTCTTCAGCCTGCAGCTAGCTGTCAGTCTGTCGGAGAGTCTGTCGAAAGCAGTGTGTTTTAGTAGCGTGGACTATTATTACCTGCTTTGTGTGTATCTGCTGTCTTCTGATTGTGTGAACTGTGTGCGTCCAATGCTAGGGTGACCATATTTCCGTTTGTGAAAACATCTTACCGGGGGTGGAGGATGGGGCCTCGACATTGAGCTACTCTCACCTTGCAACCTGTGCACATGACCTCCTGTTTGTCTCGACCGGGACAGAAAACGGGGAATTTCTTGTACAAGTCATTGTTAAATGTGCATTTACTCTTCGGCATGTTGCAGACTGACCGACTGTTTGTGTCTGCTCGCTCATTCTGAGTTACACAGAGCTACAAGAGCCGCTCAATTTAATGGCCCAGTGAAAGATCATGAAAACCCGGACATTTGCGTAATTTTATGAAAAAAAAAACGGACGCCCAGGACAGGACGCAAAAAATGGACATGTCCGGGGAAAAACGGACGATTAATGTGTGTCAATGAGAGTGAGTTTTATATTTTCTGTTCTTCGCTGTACTTTATTGTTAGCTTGGACCTACTTTTCCTTTAACCTTGTTCCTCATTATATGCATCATGTTATGTTTTTTACCGTGCCATGTTGAATTGATTTCTATTTACCCTTAACGAGCATTCATATTCTAACGTAAATCTTCTAGTTATGTTATATCTCTAGTTATGTACTTAATTAGTTGTAGGCCCGGAGCACGCTTTGTCACGTGGTCTCTGGGTAGGCCTCGACCGGGCATTGTATTTACCTTCGTGGCCACCAGAGGGAGCCATGCTTGTTATTCATTTTCGCGACCACCAGATGGAGCTCCTTTAATTTCAATGACATTCGTTTTCTGCCCTTGTGGTGAAACTGACAGTGCCAAATATATGTAGAAATTTCTGTCAGTACCAGGTTTATTAAGGTTTTTCAGTTGTTACATGTTATTTGTTCATATTGTGTACAGCACATTACTCATTATTGTTTATATTTTCTCGTCGTTTCAGAACCTCACACATACACACACCCAGATATTCTCATCACAATCAGACAGCCTCCAATAAATATTCTCCAGTCAAGTGAAGCGTCACAGTGATTCTTACCGATCACCTGCTGTGGGTTCCACCTTAGCGATCCAGTAAATAAATTCAGCTAAGAAGCACATCCTTCCTCACAGTTACACAATGCACCTTTAAATAATCTGTGCCAGTCAGTCTAGCTTTGGTCTTCATTCGTCAAGAATCGGCTCTATTCCAAATGACTCACAGCTCTCCACATGTGTATAGTTTCAAGTCTTTGCACTATAACTCAATAACAGAAGATAAAAACAAAAAAAAAGTGTTTAGCTGTGGCAGTAAATCAATCAAAGAACACTAGAAAAAGGGAAACTTGCAAAACATTATGAGAAGGTTCCTGGAGCAAGTCATGTCACGAAACTGAATGGAAATGGGTTCAAGATTGCTTAAGATTTAAAAGGGAACTATATTGATTTTTTTTCAGAAATTTCATGGTTTCATGGTCGTAATAAACCAGAAATATATGTATGGCTTTCCTATTTTATTTTTTTTTTATTTTATTATCGATAATAGATAGACCACACTCTTGATCACAAACTTTGTTGGAAACAGGCACTGATCAAATTAAAACAAAAATTGCAAAAGTTATAGCCTTGATGAACAAATCTTAATTTCTTCTAAATAAAAAAGCTGTGTATACAATCTACTGTACTCTTATCTTACCCCATTTAAGTTACTTTGTAGAGGTCTGGGGGAATTCTTATAAAAGTAACACAGATTTATTGTTTAAATTACAAAAAAAAAGTAATACAAATAGTTCACTTAGCTGCATATATAGAGAATAAACGAATGCACTTTTTTGCCAAAGATACTGAAATTTGGGGACCTGGTAAAATTTAAAACCTGCCAAATTCTCTTTAAAGTGAAACTCACCCAAACTCAGATAATATTCAAAAACTGTTCTGCACAAATGAATTAAAATACAACCTGAGGTCAAATGAATTTTAAAAAACAATTCTCTTGAAGGACTCTCCAAAGTGTGAGTGTTACCAGACGAGGAGCAGACTTATGGAACAGCTCAGACGACCATATCAAAGCTTGTACGAACTTGTTGCACTGCAAAAAGCAATTTAATAATCAAATCTTACAGAAATACCTAGTAGACTAAAGACATTGTGTCAAAGTAGTACCACAAGTACTAGACACAAGACAAGTAAAACCACGACTATTAACTAAACACATACTTTTCTTTAACAACACCTTTGTTTTGTACCATCATAAACAATACACTTTTGTGCCTTCTTTTTCATTTTTATTAGTTAGTACAAACATAAACAAAAACATATTTGTGCTTGTATGTATATGTGTATATGTATGTATTTATATATGTGTTTATGCATATAAGTGTGTAAATTAAATAGTACATGTTTCAGAAGTCACATTATTACAGGTATGATCCATAGACCCATATTGTATTTATTTAAAAAAAGTAAATCCTAAAAAATACACACAAACAAGCTATTAAAAACTCAAATAAGTGATTTATGTAGTTCGGAATTGCATAAAGTGTATATGA